TTTAATAAATAAAAATAAATAAAATAAATAAATAAAATCACGACAGGACACCTCGTTTTCCTAACTTTAACCCTACCCTGGTGTACACCCCTAACCCTATCAAAGCGATAAAGTTCCATTGTAAGGAGGGCGATTTAGAAAAAGCCCTCCTTGAGTAGCTTGTTCAGCGCAGCTCATCATTTCTGCCCATTCTAAACACACTCCATCAGAAGCATGCCAGGACCCCTAGTTTCTCTAACCCTAACCCTACCCTGGTTTACACCCCTAACCCTAATATAGGGTTAAAGTTCTATGGAAAGGAGGTCAATATTGAGGAAGACTTCCATGAGGAGGTTTTTCTGTGCAGCTCATCTTTTCTGAGCATTAAAAAGACTTTCCAACCGTCAGAATCACGTCAGGACACCTTGTTTTCCTAACCCTAACCCTACCCTGGTGCACACCTTAACCCTAATATAGGGTTAAATTTCCATGGAAAGGAGGGTAATTTAGAAAAAGCCCTCCTTGAGTAGCTTTTTCTGCGCAGCTCATCATTTCTGCCTATTCTAAACACATTCCAACCATCAAAAACTTGCCAGGACCACTAGTTCTTCTCACCCTGATCCTACCATGGAACACACCCTGAACCCTAATATAGGGTTAAAATACCATGGAAAGGAGGACGATATTGAGGAAGCTCTCCTTATGTTTTTCTGAGCAGCTCATCATTTCTGCCCATTTTTAACACTTTCCAACCATCAGAATCAAGTCAGGACCCCTAGTTTTCCTAACCCTAATCCTACCCTGGTACACACCCTGAACCCTAATATAGGAGCACAATGTTGAGCACGAAGTCATTTGGTGGGTTAGAGGCTGGCGTTCTTCCTTTGTTTTCCCCCATGCAGTAGACGGTTCCCGTTAGAGGGCCCAAAGAAGAGTCACACGAAGGAGGCCACCCCTCCAAATACAGAAACAGCAGTGCCACAATCCCCTAGATTGCTTTGGGCGCTGCCCCACGCATGTGCAGGCAGGAAGAGGGCATACAACTCCCACAGCGGGCTGGGGAATCACGTGTGGCTCAACATGCGTAGCCTTCCACCGCGCTTCATTTTCCTCACCCTTCGTGATCCTGCTCCACCACTGTCCAGCGTGTGATTTCGAGCAATCTGTGCTGATGACGGCTGGACAATACTAACCACCGCTCCTATGTTTTGACCTTTCAGGGAGATGCCGGCAGCCCCATCATTCGTGAGGCCAATGCCAGGAAGGAGCTGCATGGGACCGTAAGCGGGGCGGTAGCTGTGCCGAGGAGGAGAAACCCGCAGTCTAAACGAGGGTCCCACAGGTCGAATCGCACCTGAACGGACCCCGTAACAGAACCCACCATCCTCCTGGATGAGCGCAGGGACTTTCTTTGCAGCCTACTGGGTGACTTGTTGAAAGTGAGCAAATGAACGTCACAGCGTGAAGCCTGTTCGGAGCTGACTTTTCCTCGGCGGTTATTTTTGCAGCTTCTCATGTCATTTTATCTGAGGCAGAAATCTTCAGCCGTCACTGAAACAAAACTTGTACCAATGATAAACAGGACCATATCTAAAATTGGAATGGGTGCCGCTCTGTCGGTTCATCCGATGTGTGCCACTGTATCTCTAGAAATTAGTATTAAATCATGGTGTGAGGTTTTCTGGTAAGTCCTAAAATTACCTATGAACTTGCTAACCTTGGAGCCGCCCAGAAAAACAAAGGACCAAGTAGGATGTAAGGATGTTGTCTGAGCTGGTGTAAATAGAGCTTCACTGGAACGGCCAAGATTCATGAGATTAGAGTGCCGTGCTCTTGGAGTCAGGTTCTTTCATTCTCAGGGATGCCCTGCCTTTGCCCGTATACCTGATAACCACTCCATGAACTGTCACTGAGCCTGCACAGTTGCATATGTTCACACGGTGAGCTTGGGTGGACTTTGGTAGCTGCACGGCCAGGCAGGCAGTAGAAGCCAGATCGCCCCAGCCCTGCAAGCTGAATCGCTGCCTGCACTGCTGGGGAAGCCTCGCCGCCTAGCCCAGTCCCCACCCTCAGAGGCCTCGTCCGGCCACTGCAAGGCGCTCGAGCGAGCGGGGAAATCGAGTCCGGGAAGGTGACTGTGGCAGCCAAGGGCCCGATCCGCAGGGATGGCGCTCCGGAGCCACGCGGGAAGGGAGTGCGCCTGCTGGGCTGCTCCTCCGGATCAGGACCGGGGGGGTGCGTAGCAGGGCAGGGGGGTACTTCCTGGGCAGGCACCGGGCCTGACCCAGCAGGGAGAACTGGGGGCAGGAGGGACGGAGCCGAAGGGCCCCGAGGTGGGGAAGCAGCAAGCAGGGCGCTGCCAAGCCCGCGGTGCACCCCCTTATTGCAACGGGCGGTGAGGCGGCGCGGGTGAAACGTTCCGTCTGCGAGCGGCCACGTCGGCACTGCCAAGCAGACGGACCTTCCGGGGAAGGGCAGGAAAGGACCAGCCTCCCCTTCTGGCGGCCATCTTAGAAGAGGCAAGGAAGTGCCTCACGCTGCGGAGGGGAAGGAGGGGAGTGACAACACAGGCGCCATCTTGGTCGTGGCTTATTACAGGGAATGTAGCCCTCTGCCGTTTTAGGAGTGGCCGGCCTTGCAGAGGTGTTCCATAGACGTACGAAAAAGAAGAGGTGCCACTCCTGCCCTGTGCACCTGCCCCCAGGACGCGATCTCCTTCTCCTGCTCGGCGTCCACTCGAAGTAGGGATTAGATTCTCCAGGCTTGGACTCGCAGCTGCCCTACCTCGCAGGGCTGTTGTGAGGATAGAACGGGGAGAATGGGAATCGTGGGAGCTGCCTTGGGGTTAAGATTATCTCCAAGATCATTTTCATGTATGCTATTCAAGGGTCAGAAGAGCTGAAAGTATTTTGTGGGAAGGGCTAGCCCTGATGCCCATGGGTGCCTGCCTTCTCCCCCCTCGGCTCTCATTCTTTTCTCATTTGCTTCTCCTCTACTATGACAAACCACTCAGAAGACAGGATGGCTCATAAGAGAAAAGGCTGGTGAAAGCCTTTCCTTTTTTAAAAAAAAAAAGTTTTATTATTGTTATTTTCTACAAGCTAAAAAAAAATTAAAAAACTAAAAACATCAATCATCAGAGACATCAGAACTACTGGGTCAGCCCCCCCCCAGTTTTTTTTTTTAATAGCAATCCATAGACATATTCTGATCTACGCATAGTCCCGTTTCTCTAGCCAATAAAAAAAGAGTTCCAAGTTTGACAGAAGTATGTATCCTCTTTCTCCTTCAGAGACATAGTCAGCCTGTCCATGTCAGCGCAGTCCAGAATCTTTTTAAAAATCAGTTCATCAGTGCGTGGTTCTTCACTCCTCCAATGTTGGGCAAATACAATCCTTGCTGCAGTAATTACTACATGTAAATCAAATAGGTTGCCTGTTTGTCAACATCATCAGACACAATGTCTAATAAAAAGACTTCAGGTTTAAATATTAAAGATTCTTGTAACATTTCCTCAAGGCATTTATGTAGTTTAGCCCAATAGTTTTTTGCCTTAGGGCAAGTCCACCACATGGGATAAAAAGTACCAGGTTGATGTTTGCATTTCCAGAGAAAGCCTTCAGGCCGCAGTTCTCGGCAGTGGCCACAGGAGGGCACTCCAGGCGCGCTTTGATGCCCCCGTTGCTGAGCTGGAGCCACACTGCCTGCCCCCCGCTGCCGCCCACCCCCCCTGGAATATCGGCGATGGAGCCCTTTCGCCCCCCTGGAAAACAGGCCGGGCCTGCTGCAGCACTTGGTGGATGCCGCACTCCAATCCGGCGCTCGCTCGCTCGCTCTCTCTCTCTCACACACACACACACTTTTAAAGCTCATTTTATTTCATATTTTCCAGATTCTTCCAGAATTAAAAATACATACAGGGGGCCTCACTGATCATAAGGGCATCATGATCACATTCTAAGCATCCAGTACTAATGGACCACTGCATCAATAAAAGTTTAGAGTTGACTTTACACACACCACATTCCCTCTCCAGCCTATACATTAGGCCTCCATATACCCAACAGCAGTGTTATACAATAGCGAGACAGAGGAGCTGCCTGCTGTAGGTAATCACGCTGCGCAGCAAACCTGCCAGAGGAACTGATCTGAGCAGCAGCAGGAGCACACGAGATCACTCAGCCTGCCCAGAACACAGACTATGTACAGTACTAGAGAAACCTGGCACCTTTCTAGACAGGACAGCTGGGAGATTAATTCAGGAATCCCGTGTTTAGAAATCCATGATTTAAGTAACTGTAAGGGCAGCAGGGAAGAAATATGAAGTTCCAGGTAAACAAGGGATAAGAGAAGGGCAGTGCAATTGTGATAAAATATGAAGTGCCAGTTGTGGTTTCCCTGCCCTGCAGATCAGACAGCCACCCCCAACACAGAAGGAGTCTGTGGATCTACTTTTAAAAGGAACATGAAACTCCTGTACTTTGCTCCATTGCTGCTTTGAATTGGATTATCAGGCTGCTGTCAGGCAGCCTGCAGAGATAGTAGCTGGGCAAAAACTGAGCAGGCTATGAATCTACACTTTTGGAAGAGACCACTGTGTAGTGTTGCAAGGCCAGGTGACAAGGGGAAGCCAGAACAAATGAGAGCTGAACTCCAGGTGAAGCACACCAAGTGGCTCTGTCCCAAGTCACACCCCTGCAGCTGCCACCACTGCAGCCTTGGATCCATCTAGCAGGGTCCATCCACCGTTAAGTGGCAGGCTCTCCAGAAGGATCTGGGCTGCAGCACCCCACAGAGTGCCATGCTGCTTTCGCCAAGCTCCACATTTTATTTGTTCTTGGTACCTGTGGGATACCAGGTGGTCCTCACCTCTCCACACAGCCTGTTTGGCAGTCATTCTCCCAGCACAACTCAAGGGCCAGACACTCACACATGCAGCACTACAGGGGATCATCATTCTGCTCTGTGACAAGGTTCACCTCCCTCTCCTAGTATCACTGCTTAATCTGGCTAAAGAGAACTTTTTATTTCAAATAAGAGACTTTATTTCTATTACTGCTTAACAAAGTACACTTTCAATAATCTAGTGACATGCAAACTATGAGAAAGTCGACTGCCATAGTTTGCACACAGCACAGGGGAAAGTGCTGAAGTGAGGCACACATTCTGGACACAGCCACAGCTGCTGATGGAAAGTTGGGCTACATCTGGCCAAGGAGGTGGGGAGTCACTCAGAACTACAGGCTGAGGGGGCATAGCTCTGGAAGGGAAGATGCTGGTGTGGAAAGCTGCAGGAACTGGCCTCCTTAGAGCAAGCTCATACCTAGCAGTTAAAGGGCAGCAGACCCCATCCCTGCTTCACTTCCATCAGCTGCTTCTCTCAAAGGTTTTGGGAGTGGAGGAAGCTGTGGAGAACTGATATAGGCAGCTGAGGGTTTCTAGTTCCTTTCCAAAACTGAGGCCAGTATTTGCTCCATGAGTATACAAACTCCCTTCCAGTCGCTCTTCTATCACAGTGATGGAAAGTTCCAAGTAAGTGAGAGCAGCACCTATACAGAGTCATCAAACAAATTCCACAACAAAAATGCAGCTATTTCCCACAATTAATTGCAATATGAATACATGAAACTGCCACCATCAGCTTCATTCCCACAGTTCACTGTAAATAATCTGTCCTGTAAAGAGCATGGACCCACTGTATCATTTCCATAGATTCACTGCCCCTCTGAAACCAAATCAAAAGTTTCCTTTTGCCAGGTCGTATTCAAAGTATAAACCAATCCACAGGGTTCCCCTGGTATATCATCTTGCTGATTCAAGTTCTGTATTGCCATGGACATGTTACACTTTGAGATGTTAAGGTGTGGAAAGGGACATCCACTCACACAGATCTGGTGCAAGGTTACAGTGTGTGTTACTCTGCAGCACCCCCCTGGTCACATTGCCTAATTAAATCTGAAAACCAGTGGGATGGTCAGCTCCTCTTTTAACCAAGCATGGAGTCCTTTCCTGCAAGCATTCTGCAATGAGCAAGGAGGAGGAGGGTCTTTTTCTTTTGCTTCTCTTGCTTTCTGTCAAAGAAGCAACAAGTGATCTCCTCTGTGCTAGTTATAAAATCTTGGGAGTTTAAAAGTTAAAAGTCCACTTAAAAGTCCAGTTAAAAGTCTCCAGCCTGGTCCCCCATTCTGATCCTCTATGAAATAAAATTGGCTGGAATTATCACAAGAGGTTGGCATCCACGGAATCTGGCTAAGATCCTTTGCTGCTAGTGGTGATATCTTCAGAACCAACTAGAGGCAGTTATGCCTCATGTCTGAGGCAGTTCAGCGCTGGCCTCCTCTTGCGTTGCAGACTGGCTTGACAGGAGCATAACTTCAAACACTTGGCCTCTGGACGTGGCATCATCCATCTCACTCTCACTCCTGTCCTCATCTCCTGAGGGAAGACCCTCCTGGCTCTCCAAGTCACTTACCTGGCCCTCTCCGAACTCAAGGATGGTTGGAAGGCTGCCCTGAGTAGGGCACCGTTTCCTAAGGCTCACTAGGAAAGGCTGGGGCAGAGAGAAGATGTCCACATTGTTGCCCAGGTCAATCCAGGTCATGCTGGGGAAATTCTGGGCGTCTTTCAGGGCTTCTGTTAAGTCCCGCAGGATGGCCTTCGTGAGCCTGTTGCCATTGAGGGAAAGAGTGCTGAGGCGCGGCAGGGCGCTGAGGACAGGCAGAAGCTGGAGGAACAGCTCATCTGTCAGCTCTGTGAAGGAGAGCTCCACATTCTCAATGTGTTCTGAGCTGTGCTGGAGGTAGGAGATGACCCGGTCCAATTCCTTCAGGGTCAGAGGTATGCCAGACAGGTCAACTGTGTTGTCCTGAGGATTCCCCATTAGCACTGCCTTCAAACTGCAAAAGAGTGAAAGAGAGTCCATGAGTCATCTCCTAACATTCCCTCTCCAAAGAAAGGTCTGTCCTGGTTGTGAGGAGCAGGCTAGAAGAATAGGAGAAAGGAAATCACAGAAACAGAGAAACAGAGTGCGTCAGAATGGGCCTCCTGGGTATGGGCCATGGCAACACTGGTGTTCCAATGGCAGCCAATTTTGATAAAGTGTGAGAGTGATTAATGGCAATATGCAATATTTATCTAATGCTCACATATTATTCAGTAATCTTTTCCCTAAAGTTTGCATGTATTACTGAGGATTGCGGGCAGGGGCTAAAACTGAGAGAGGACAAGCAGTCAGCCATGCAGGGCTCTCGATGGATGGATTTGGAAGAGTAGTGATGCAAGGAGAATACAAGACCTTGCTGAGGACTCCAAGTTAAGGCATCCCTGGCAGGTCGCTGTCCAGCTGGCTCCCGAATGACTCTGGTGTGGGTAAGCCCACCACCTCCCTAAGGAATTGGTCCAATTGCCATACTGCTCTAGCAGCCAGGAGGTTTCTTCTAATGCTCAGCTGAAATCTGGCCTCCTGTAACTTAAGCCCGTTATTCCATGTCCTGCACTCTGGGAGGACTGAGAAGAGATCCTGGCTCTCCTGCATCAGTCTTTCAAGCACCTGAAGAACAGTCACATCTCTCCTCTGTCTTCTCTCTCAAGGTCAAATGTTCCCAGCAATTTCAATCTCTCCTCACAGGGCTTTGTTTCAAGTCCCCTGCTCATCTTTGTTACTCTCCTTTGAACCCTTTCCAGCTTATCTGCATCTTTCTTAAACTGTGGTACCCAGAACTGGACACGACACTCAAGATGGGGCCTAACTGGGGTCCAACAGAGGGGAACTGGTACCTCGTGTTATTTGGCAGCTATTACTGTTGCCTACCCTGTCATGGATCGCTGCCTTGTCGTGGCGAAGGGGCTTGTGTAGCTCAATGAAGCTATGAGCTCTGCCATGCAGGGCCACCCAAGACGGACAGGTCATAGCAGAGAGCGCTGACAAAACGTGATCCACTGGGGAAGGAAATGGCGACCCACTCCAGTATCCTTGCCATGAAAACCCCATGGACAGTACCAAAGGGCAAAAAGATAAGACGCCGGAAGATGAGCCTCTCAGGTCAGAAGGTGTCCAATATGCTACTGGGGAAGAGCAGAGGGCTAGTACTAGTAGCGCCAGAAAGAGTGAAGCGACTGGGTCAAAGTCGAAAGGACCCTCAGTTGCTGATGTATCTGGTGGTGAAAGGAGAGTCCGATGCTGTAAATATCTATACTCCACAGAAATCTGGAATGTAATCATGAGTCAAGGCAAACTTGATGTGGTCAAACAAGAGATGACAAGACTGAACATCGACATCTTAGGAATCAGTGAACTAAAATGGACAGGAATGGGTGAATTTAATTCAGATTCTAGAGAATAGCTAGAAGGGATAAGAAGGCCTTCTTAAATGAACAGTGCAAAGAAATAGAAGAAAACAATAGAATAGGGAGGACCAGAGATCTCTTCAAGAAAATTAGAGATATGAAGGGAACGTTTCATGCAAAGATGGGCATGATAAAGGACCAAAATGGCAGGGACCTAACAGAGGCAGAAGAGATTAAGAAGAGGTGGCAAGAATACACAGAGAAACTATACAAGAAAGATCTTAATGTCCCTGATAACCATGATGGGGTGGTCGCTGACCTCGAGCCAGACATCCTGGAATGTGAAGTCAAATGGGCCTTAGGAAGTCCAAGCAACAACAAAGCTAGTGGAGGCGACAGTATTCCAGCTGAGCTATTTAAAATCTTAAAAGACGATACAGTAAAAGTGCTACACTCAATATGCCAGCAGATTTGGAAAACTCAACAGTGGCCACAAGATTGGAAAAGGTCAGTTTACATTCCGATCCCAAAGAAGGGCAATGCCAAAGAATGTTCGAACTACCGCACCATTGCACTCATTTCACATGCTAGCAAAGTTATGCTCAAAATCCTACAAGCTAGGCTCCAGCAATATGTGGACCAAGACCTACCAGTAGTACAGGCAGGATTTTGAAGAGGGAGAGGAACTAGAGATCAAATTGCCAACATACGCTGGATCATGGAGAAAGCTAGGGAGTTCCAGAAAAACATCTACTTCTGCTTCCTTGAAGCTAAAGCCTTTGATTGTGTGGATCACAACAAGTTGTGGCAAGTTCTTTAAGAGATGGGAGTAGCAGACCATCTTATTTGTCTCTTGAGAAACCTGTATGTGGGTCAAGAAGCAACAGTAAGAACTGGACACGGAACCACTGATTGGTTCAAAATTGAGAAAGGAGTTCGGCAAGGCTGTATACTGTCGCCCTGTCTATTTAACTTATATGCAGAGCACATCATGAGAAAGGCAGGGCTAGATGAATCACCAGTTGGAATTAAGATTGCCGGGAGAAATAACAACCTCAAATATGCCAATGATATCACTCTAATGGCAGAAAGTGAAGAGGAACTAAAGAGCTTCTTGATGTGGGTGAAGGAGGAGAATGCAAAAGTTGGCTTGAAACTCAATATTAAGAAAATTAAGATCATGGCACCCAGTCCTATCACTTTCTGGCAAATAGATGGGGAAGAAATGGAGGTAGTGACAGGTTTTATTTTCCTGGGCTCCAAGATCACCGCAGACAGGGACTGCAGCCAAGAAATTAAGAGACGGTTGCTCCTGGGGAGAAAAGCTATGGCAAATCTAGACAGCATACGAAAAAGCAGAGACATCACCCTGCCAGCAAAAGTGCGTATAGTCAAGACTATGGTTTTCCCAGTTGCAATGTATGGCTGTGAAAGCTGGACCATAAGGAAGGCTGAGCGCCGAAGGATTGATGCCTTTGAATTGTGGTTCTGGAGGAGACTCTTGCGTGTCCCTTGGACCGCAAGGCGATCAAACAGTCAGTCTTAAAGGAGATCAATCCTGGCTCCTCTTTAGAAGGCCAGATGCTGAAGATGAAACTGAAATACTTTGGCCACCTAATGAGAAGGAAGGGCTCACTGGAGAAGAGCCTAATGCTGGGATAAATGGAAGGCCAAAGAATAAGGGGCGGCAGAGAATGAGGTGGCTAGATGGAGTCACGGAAGGCCTGGAGGAATGTTGTCCATGGGATTGCGGTGGGTCAGACACCACTTTGTGACTAACAACAACAATGTTGCCCAATTAAAAATACACTTGAATTAAAGGCATACAGAAAGAAAATCTTTCAGCTAGAAAAAGAAATCCTGCCAGTTGGCCCCAGAAAGACAGTGATCCAGCCAGCATGTCCTCTCTGTGAAGAACAGGGAAACATCCAGGAGAGCCCTTCAGTTCCTCTGCACTCCTCAGGGCACATTTGGTAAGTAGAAGTGCAACAAGAAGCCCGGGAGAAGACTCAGATTTGCAAGCACAAATCTGTCATCTCAGAAAGAGCATCCATGAGAAAGGAGTGTTCCCTCTCTTTGCCTCTGACATGCTCCCTCTTTCCACCACACAGGGCCAACTTGCACAATTATATGGCCAGTGTGAGGCTGCAAAAGCCTCGAGCAGTCTCTGCTGGCACTGGGGTCCACTGCCTTGACTGCTCCCCATGGCTGCCCTGAGTTGGTGACTCTCCTTCAGGGGAGCCAGACGAGGACAGCCAAGCTGCATTTTGTGTTCAAGCGCAACAAACCAAGTGGCACAGAGCCAAAGCCAATGCCTTGATCACAACTCATAGCTGAAACAGAAGGCAGCCCAAATGCCTTTGGCAACCCACGCAGCAGCATTCAGAGGGAAACGGTGCAGAACCAAGGACATTTCCAACCTAGGAAATGCAATCACAGCAGGACGGAAACCAGGACGTATTCTATGGCTGGAATTAAATGTACTTTAATTTCTACAGTTTTGTTGTCCACTTCCACAGGTCCCATCTGGGTGGGCTTAGGATTTGAAAATGTGGAGACTCACTTTACCTGCCCCCCAAATTCTGCTCATTAATGTATTTATTAGATTCAGAGCCCATCCTTCAGAATCATCACAGGGGTTCACAAAAACATTTATTTATATTTATTTAATTACTTCCTATACAGTAGTCCCCCGAAATTCACAGGGGCTGCATTCCTAGAACACCCGTGAATTGTGAAAAACAGCGAATTTGGTGCTGGCGATGGGCGCCAGCCACCAAGGTGGTGTGGGCGGGGGTGAGGGCCAGGCTGGGGGGGGGGGGGGCGCACACACATGGAGAGGCAGGGGCACGCGCGCAGAGAGATCATTTTCTCCGAGTGAGTCCAAACCGATCTCCTTGCGAGCAAGCTGCCGCACAGAAAATTCTGCGAAAGACTGAGGCCGCGAATGCTGAACTGCAACTTCACGGGTGTTATGCTGTACTGTTGAATACCTGAGCATCTCTTAGCTTTGAATTCATAAGAGATGTAGGGAGAGCACTCCCTCTGGCTACACCCCAAGCTGGGGATCCATGCTCAGAGTGCAACCCCGCTCAGTTGTAGGCACAAATTATGCCAGCCACTTTTCCAAGGTTGCCGGACCTTCTCAAAGGTGGGGGGAGGGGGGCAGGCTTCTGCAGGGAGACTTGCCACCAAGATATAATATATCCTGGTGGCATCTCTGTATCCTTCCCACACTTAGGTGGACAAAATCAGCTAAGCACTTTGCAGAGCAAGGCAAGTGCAGGGGTGACAATCACCTCCACCCTCCTCCCACCCTCCATTAAATGCCTGTAAAGCTGAGCTGGAAGAGTTATACATATCATCCCAGAACTGATCCCAAATTAAGATACAAACAGTAAATCAATAAAAGCAGCACAAGTACAGTCCATTTAGAACACATCAAAGTTTTTAAAAAAACAAACTTAGAAATGTTCACCTACTGGCATAAGACATCAAATGTGGGCTATTTTAGATTTAATTTCCTTCTATATAAATTGTAGGACTGCAGGTGGCGCAGTGGTTTAAACCGCTGTGCTGCTGGGCTGGTTGATCGGAAGGTTGTCGGTTCAAATCTGCACAACGGGGTGAGTTCCCGTTGCTCCATCCCAGCTCCTGCCAACCTTGCAGTTCGAAAGCATGCAAATGCAGGTAGATAAAAAGGTGCCACTTCGGTGGACAGGTAACAGCGTTCCTGCTCCTCGGTGTTTAGTCATGCCGGTCCCATGACCACGGAGACTGTCTGCGGACAAGCGCTGGCTCCCTTGGCCAAGAAATGGCGATGAGCACCGCCCCCTGGAGTCAGGCATGACTGGACTTAATGTCAAAAGGAAACCCTTACCTTTACCTTTTAATAAATTGTGTGTGAGCTTATATGTTTATTTCTTCTAGCATGTTTAACTGTTTTGTAATTTTTGCATAGTTATCATTATAGAGGGAGGGATAAAAGCAGATGAAAACCCTCCATTAAAATGCTTTTAGAAATCAAGTGATTCCTTGTTAAAAAAAAACATTGAAGAACTGCTAACAACACGAATACCTGCTTGCTCTCATCTCTCCAACCCGGGTTAGTTACCCCCAACTTTTGTGGGAAACTTCAAAGTGCCAATTTCCCTAGGAGCAGGCTGGCAACTACATCCAGAGAGAAGTTGTTTGTTGTTTAGTCATAAAGTCATGCCCAACCCATCATGACTCCATGGACAACATTCCTCCGGGCCTTCCTGTCCTCTAACATCCCTCAGAGTCCAGCCAAGCTCACACCCACTGCCCCAGTGACCCCATCCAGCCACCTCATCCTCTGCTGTCCCCTTCTCCTTTTACCTTCAGTCATTCCCAGCATCAGGGTCTTTCCCAATGAGTCCTTCCTTCTCATTAGGTGGCCAAAGTATTTGAGTTTCATCTTCAGTATCTGGACTTCTAAAGAGCAGTCAGGGTTGATTTCCTTACAGAGAAATTAATCTGACTAATCTGAGGAAAGATGAGGGAATGAAGGGTTGTGGAGATAATTAAGAATGATAGTGGGAGCAAACCTCACATCCTCCCAGGAAGGGCTGGCTCTGGCCTCCTGCCTTTCGTCCAGCAACACTGCATCACCACTGCTCAAGAGGAGCAGAGACGGACAGGCATGTGCACATGCATGCACTGCAGCCCATAAATGCATCCGCTGTGGCATTCAGGTGTCCAAGCACTGCACATTTCACTGCTCATTTTTAATCTTCCTTTGCAAGCAGCAGGAGCTGTCAGAAAGTTCTTGTCAGCTGCAGAGTCCAGGACACCCAAGGCTAATTAACAGCATGTGCTGTAACACACAAACATGCACACAGAAAGGGAGAGTGTTTGAACACAGGAAATGAGCCCATTATAGAAGCAGCAGACTGGAATATTGAGACGTGTGCTTTTGCAGGTGTCAGAGGGGAACAGAGTAAAGGTGTTTACAAAACCCAATGAAAAGTCAGTGCTGTTGGGGCAAAGGGACCCTCGCACACAGGAACCGACCAGCTGATCTTCACATGCCTGGCAGGCAGAGGCACTTGTCCTGTGCAACATCTGATAGGTCCATGGGAGGACAAAGAAGCAGAAGCTGTGAGGGACTCTATTCCTACAATCTTTTTGTGAAACATAAGTAACTAACCATAATCACTGGGTTCAAGTCCTTTGTTTTACTTGGCCAATAAGGCTCTACTTGTTTCAGGCACTAGGCTTTCTGGCCTTCCTCACTTAAATTTAGCAGGCTTCGACGCTCAATGCAGTCAAACTAAATGTAACCCAAAGTTCATTTTCAAATAGTATGCTTAAGATTCGCCACGTTCTGTTTTTTTTTTTTTTTTTTAATACAAGCACAGAGATCACAGTCAGGACCATAGTGAAGCAGATGGGAGAATTAATCCCAATAACTTCTCTGTTGAAAATTGCACACTTCTTAGCACTCATTTGCCTTTGTCTTTAAATAATGCGTTTTTAAAAGCCTAGCAAGCATCAGCTTAAAGCGTTCTGAATGAGGCTCACACAGCTGCTTTTTGCGGCCCAGTCCTATGGCCTTCAACTTAAAATTATTTATTGTGACAGGCGAGTTCTGTCTTGGCCCCTGTGTGGTTCAGCTTCTTAATAAACACCTTAAGGGTGCTCATCAAATTTGCTCATGGGAGTAATAGCTAATGCCTCAGGAGACTGCAACAGGATTCAAAATTATCTTGACAGAGTAAAAAACTGGCCCAAGATAACACAAACAGTCTCAAGAGAGATCAAAGTTAGGCATGGAGGCAAAAATCATCACACACACAATCCCAAAATAGGTTACTTCTGGCTTGACAGCAGCACACACAAAAGGATTCTCAGGCAGTGCTCTTAGATGTGAAAACCTCCAGATGTTTCAGACTGCAACTTCCAACATCTCCCACCACTGGCCATACTAGTTGGAACTGATGGGAGTTGCACACCACAGCATCTGGAGGAAAGCTGATCTCAGTTCTAGTAGGCCCAGTGCTTAAACATAGAAACACAGAAACGAAGCAAGTCAGAAGGGGCCTCCCAGGCCATCTAATCAGACCTCAGACTCCAGCCAGCTCTGTTCATGTAATCGCCAACATGTGGCTGTCCAATCGTTCAATGAGTCAGCAGTTAAGAAAGCTAATGCAATTCTGGCTCATATCAACAGAAGGACAGGCTCCTGACGGCAATAAGGATTTGGTCAGACCATCTGGAGGTCTATATCCCGTTCTAGGCGCTGCAGCTTGAAAATGTACTGAAAAACTGGAAGATTTCCACAGGAGGTGAGAGGGCCCTGGAAGCCAGTCCCTAGGAAGAGACTACAGGTCAGTACCTTGAGCTTGAGGGTAGCTCATACAGAAAGTAAAACGTAGGTTTTCTGTTGCTTCAGAGGGTGGGACCAAGCTTATGTTAATATACAAATCAAAAAAGCCAAGAAAGGGCACTAATAATTTGTTACAAAATTTCGTTCTTCATGGATCACTGCCTTGTCGTGGCAAGGGGCTTGCGTAGCTCAGTGAAGCTATGAGCTATGCCGTGCAGGGCCATCTCAAGGCAGTGCCTTTATTTATTTTTATTTATTTTGTTTAGTAAACTTACATGCCGCCCCATTCACCAAAGCCTTGGGGCTCAGTTCTATGGAACTGAGCCAGCTTATCATTGGTCTTCCTCTGCCTCTGATTTCATCTAGCGCTGTCTTCTCCACAGCGAGTCTTGCCTTCTCATGATGTGCCCAAAATACAGCATTTTAAATGTTGTCCTTTTTGCTTCCAGGGAAAATTCTGGCTGAATTTGATTTGTAATTACTTATTTGCTCATCCTTCTGTCAGTCTGGCAAAGCTGCACCATGTTTTGAATGCATCCGTTTTCTTCCTGCCACCTTTCTTCATGGTCCAGCTTTTACACCCACACACAGTGGTCAGGAGCATCTTGGCTTGGTCTCCAGTGAAGCTGCCTCACACTTGAGGCTCTTTTCCAATTTCTTCCCTGATGCCCTTCCAAGTCTCTGTCTTCTAATCATTTATTGGCTGCCGTCTCCAATGACTAAGCCAAGGTATGCAGAATCTTTCACAATTTTATTGTTGACAGTAAAGTTCCATAATTTTCTGTTGTCATGATATCTGTTTTCTAAATGTTCAGCCAGAATCCTGCTTTTGCACTTTCTTCCTTCACTTTCATCAGGAGTCATTTCAAATTCATTGCTGCTTTCTGTCAATAATATAGTATAATATATAGTACACATATTAAATGACTGATGCATTTTCCACCAATTTCCACTCTTTCTTCCTCTGATCCTAATCCATCTTTCTTTCTCGTATGTTCAGTGTATAGATTGAACAGATAGGGACATAAAATTTGCCCTTGCCTGATGCATTTTCCTCTTCCGCTTTTCCATATTCATTCTTGATAGCATTTCTGTCCGTGATGCAGGCTGTGCATCAGATGATCAGAGCTGAGGCACCCGCTTCCTTCAGGACCATTCATAGCTTCTTGTGATCCACACAGTCAAAGCCTTTGCTGTAGCCTATAAAGCAGAGACTGGTCTTTGACATTCTTTAGTGTGTAGCAGAAGCCATAATATATTTGTGATATGAGCTCATGTGTTTCTTTCTTTTTTAGCATCCAGCTTGCAGGCATTTGCTTCAGACAGAGTGAACTTGTTGCAACACCTTGAGCATCACTCTGCCTGCAATGGTACAGTATTTGCTGCACTCCTCTGTTCGGGATTGGAATGTATATTGAATGTTTCCAGCCTGTGGACCATTGTTTTGTTTTCCAGCAAATCAGGATTTATGTTAGGATTTTGACCAGTTCAGTCTCTGCAGCTTAGAATAGTTCTAATAGAACTTCATGTGCATTATTCATTCCAGAGCAGCTGTCACTCCCCCTTCTAATATTGCAGGTTCCTCCTCACAGGATTCCTCTTTGGTCATCCTTTTATCTCTTTAATGGGCTCATGCCAAGTACTGCACTGTTTAATTCTTGTTCTAAGATTCCCTGTTTGTCTTGCTTAATGCTTCTCACGATCCAAGTTCCAATTGTGTGTCATGTGCAGCACTGAATTTTCCTTTCACCTCTGTGCATGTCAGCCACTAGACTTCCTCTGAATTTTGATCTGGTTGCATCTCTACCCACAGCACAGTCCTTTGCTCTTCCTGTGCTGACTGAGAGCCTTCCAAGCTGGAAGTGTCATCTTCTGCACTATCTCCTATCATGATAGGACTTTCAAGGTAAAAAGATGCAGAAGTGGTTTGAGCAGAGTTAGAGCATTAAGAAGAGTCAGTTTGAGCATCACTGCCAATGTTGTCTTCAACTACTGCTGCTGCCTAGTATAGAATCATAGAACAGTCAAGTTGGAAGAGGCCAGATGGCCATTGGGTTCAACCCCCTGCTCAGTGCAGGACACCAAGTTAAACCATCCCTGTAAGATGGCTGTTCAGTTACATCTTGAATGCTTCCACTTGGGAGAGCCCACAACCTCCTTAGGTAATTGGTTCTGTTGTACTGCTCTAAGAGTCAGGAAATGTAAGAGTCAGTAGCTGTCCATCAGGTGTTTCTCTGCCCCCATCACCATTAGAAAGTTCCGTTCTCTTCTGCTGATGTGGCTGTCAAATTTGAAGAGTCCAGTCTTAGTCTGGTGCCTCAGCTTTGACCTTCTGCCCTGGGTGACCCTGCCAGGAGACCAGCCTAGTGAAAAAGTCTGGCCTCTTGGTGGCATTGCTCACAATTTCTCTGACACCCTCACCACATCAAGGTGCATCCAAGAGGGGGTATCTGTGCTAACTCATTTGTAAATCCCACTGACGTCAGCAAGACTCACTTGTAGGAAAGCATGTCGAGTATTTACTCCTGCTTGTGCAGGGTGGTGACTGTGCATTAACAATGAAAGGACACAGAGAAGTCTCAAGGCCAAATCAGCAAGCAAAACTGTTGAGACGGGGGGGGGGGGGGGGGCTGGTGACACTTATATCCCACTGTACAATCCCAAAACAGTTATGTGAGAAGGATATGTTTACTGGGACCAGCCTCTGTGTGGCCTCGCCCAAAAAATGCTGCAGAAGCACCCCTTTACACCTCACAGAGCAGCTAAAAACAGCCAGGCTGCCTCACAGGCTGCAGGACTGGCTCCTAGTTCAGAAAAAAGCCCTCTACACCTCAGCTGCAGACTGGCTTCTCCAGGGGAATAATTTAATCAAGCTTGTTAGGATGCCACAAACATATGCTGAACTAACTGCTAATCAAGAAGGGGCTGTTAATTAAAAATATACAAGAGTTAAATGCCTATGTAAACAGATGAACTCAAGACATACTGCCAAATGACCAATCAGAGTACAGACACAATGCATGAATAATGTTGTACATGTTTCATAATTCAATACATTGTGTGTTGTAGCGGACGTACTTAATGCACTTATGTGTGAGTGACTTGATTGAATGGTAAAGGGAATAATATTTTTAACCCCCAGACAAGATGAGTGCAAAAAGAAAGAGCTATTCTGTTGAGTACAAGAAAGGAATTGTGGAGGACTCTCGGGGCAAGAATCTTACGGCTTTCGTAAGAAAAAATAAGACATCACCTGAAAATAAGCCCTAATGCGTCTTCTGGAGCAAAAATTATTATAGGACCTGGTCTCATTTTTGGGGAAACACAGTACCATCCATGCTGCCTACATTGGCCACATTGCCCGGAAGGCCCTTCCGCAGCATCAGAAAGGGGAAAAGCAGCAGCAGGTGTACAGAAGGTAACAGCCACCTGGGTTCGGGCACATCCAAGCTGCCCCACCTTTGGCAACAGCTGCTACCAGAACAGAAGTATGTCAGGAATCTTGTTTGGGCGTGGGAATGCATCAGGTTTCCTTAGCTTGGCTCTCTAGACACTGGTCTCCTTTTTCTCTGCCACCAGTCTGTCACATGCCAAGCATTTGCTTGGGCAACGGGAAGTGAGGCCCGCATGCGCACATACCACCTGCTGTCTGAGCCAACTTGTGCACACACCACCTGCAGTCTTAGTATAGTCCGAGCAAAGAAGAGATCTGCCAGCATTCCCAAGCATTTGCGGACTTGATCTCAGTTCGTCATGCTTCCTGGCAAGGCCCAAGTGTGGGAGTTTTGTGAGTACAAGAGACCTGGACTCTTTTCTTAAACCCTACATGAGAGATACAGTTCTACACAGCAGCAAAGAGTACCTTCCTGGCAAAAGAAAAGCCTGCACTTTGAGGGCAGGAAAGGGCAGGAAACTGGCTGCTCCAGTTTTTGGGCTGTGTGGGGTCCAGATCACTCTGTCTGCCAGCAAAGCCGCTGCTCTGCTTCCCCAGCAGCCCTGCCTGTGCTTGAGTGTCACAATCAGAACTGATGAGAAAGGATGGGAGACAAAACACCATCATATTTTCACACCGCTGAACATGGACTAATACGACCTGACAAGTCACCAGCATTGAACCTGTCTGGAATTTCCCCCTTCAACTCGAGGCAGATAAAAGGTTTCTGCATGAAATGCCTAGGGACATGATGTGGAACACCCTCACATGGGTCAGATGTTCTTGTGGATATTTGTTGGCTTGCCTAATGCAGCAGCCTCTTCAGAAAGTTTCTCCTTCTATTGCTTTGGTATTTCTCCCACCACAGAAACTGAAAGCTAGAGTCAACTTGTTCGTTCATGTTGATGCTGCGTAAGGGAACGGGAGATTAGCAAACACTGGGAAAGTCTACAAAGAGCTGCTTCTCCCTGTCCCAGGTCTGCAAAACTCTGTTTGAAAAATTCAACGAATGGAAGCAACGCCAAAAGGCACGCTTCACCCTGCCTGCACTACTGGAAAGCTGCAGCAGCTGCCTGCCTCTTTGCCCTCTTTTGTACAGCAGCAAGACAGCTCACGAGCACTAGCCTCATTCAGGCTGTCTTGGGAATAACCTTTATTAAGGTGGGTTTTTTTTCAAAATAGCAACAACAATAATCATTATATTTATACAATTATAAAGATAAAGATACTTGTAACAGCTGCCATGAAGACAGATGGGAAAGTGTAGAAGCCACTCCGTCTCTGTGCTTCCACCACCTACTTTGCTGCTGAGTAGGCCCTGTGGTTCTAGGGACTGGCAGCTGCCCATCTCAGAGACAGGGCTGGGTCCTGCCAAAGAGGCAACCTGTGCTAGGGGCCACCACTAGCCAGTTAGCCCATCCCTATGCAGAGTCCAGCCCCCTTGCAGCCAGTGCCCCTGTGGACTGCATTAGGTTTGAGAGGCTCCAGGGTGCCAACCTGGCAAGGAAGCCGCCAGGCCACCACCGTGCTCACTCACCAAGCTTGCGGCTTCCTCTTCACGATGCCCTGGCGGCGCCACTGCGAGTGCGGACTCAGGTGGTAGGTCAGCTGCCTGCAGAGCTTCTCCATGGCCCCGAGGGAGTCCCCTTCCTGAAGCGTGATGGAAGAAAGGAGAGCACAAGGGTCAGAAGCCGAGAAGTCAGCAGCCTGAAGGAAACTGCCTTTGTCTAATGGGCCAAGGTCCTTGAAAAGCTGCTCTGGCACAACCCTTTGTGGCAGGTAGAACCAGCACCCTTGCAAACAGGACTTGTCCAGTGCAAATCAGAAAAAGTTCTCAGCTAATGGGGAGGATGTGGATGGGAGAGGGGAGTGAAGTTAGAAAGCTCCCTCTCTTCCAAGACAAGCGCCACTCCTTCATAGGTGAGTTACAAATCCAACATAGCAGCTTCCTATTTCACTCAAAAGACCCACACATTCCTTGTCAGGTCATCTTGGCCAACGCACCAAGCCCTGCCCCAGATCACACCCCACAGTGTAGGTCGCAGTTTTTGATCTCAGTGCCAACTTGTGGAAGCCCTGGTCCAACAGGACCTGACCAGTGGAGAACTGGCAGCCATCACCAGGGATCAGGCAGCAAGCTGCCATCGTAAAATATTAAGCCATTCTGTGTTCAGGTCAGCCAAGCCCTCCCATGACATCAACCCCCGAGGAGTGATTCACCCGTGGAGCTTTTGGCGATTACCGTATAGAGCATGGGTCCTCAAACTACGGCCTGGGGGCCGGACCCGGCCCGCCATGCCCATTTGGACCCCACATGCACATTCATGCGTGTGCCTGCCGCCACCCACATCGCCCTGCATGCGGGAGGCAGCAGTTTGCTCACTTGGAAAAAATGATCTCCGAGCAAACAAGCCGCTGCCTCGTGCGCCCACCTTGCGGCACTTGCCCGCCTGTGCCTCCCCTCCCCTCGCCGCACGCGCGCACCCGCCCATGCCTTGCTGCACACGCGCCGCTGCCGGCCCGCACACACCACCAGAAACCGCCTTTCCAGCCCACGCCCAGCACCAGCACTTTCAACTGGCCCCCTGGTGAAAAAAGTTTGAGGACCCCAGTATAGAGCCTTGGATGTTCTACCAGCATGACCCCACCTCCCCCAAAGTCGCTAGGCAGCTCTGGCGGTGGACTGGGGTCAGCCTGCTCCATCCCCGCCCTGAGCCAGGCAGTCCTCCCTGAGGGCTCCCCCAGCCACACCAAGCAGTTTCGCTTCACTTGGACATCAGCTTGTAGCACTCTGGAGCAAAGCTGCATCATACAACTTGCTGCAGCTGGGAAAACTCTCTCAGCACTAAACCAGGAGATGACGGCCAGCCTTGCTGTTTGTCATGCGCAAGGAGTCTTTTTAAAATGGTACAGCTTGAGCAGAACTGGCAAGTAGAGTGGAAGGCCTGATCCAAGGTGAGCTCGAAGCGCAGTTGGAAAGGGACTGAGGGACTGGGCGGGAGCCATCCCCTTTATACTGCCTGCGCAAGGGACAGGTCAGGCTCCCGCCCACTCCATGGCGCCAAGCTTCGGAAGTTTTCCTCCGATCGAGGCCTTGCGCTGCGCGTCAAGCCCATTGGTGTGTTTGCACAGAGACCGCGAAGAAGAACTGGGATTTTGCCATCATGAGTCACACTTGTTGGGTTCCACTAGAAAGCTGAGCCTTGACATCGGCAGCCATGTGTCAGCCCAGGGGAGGCCTAGCAGAGACACCCTGGCTACGCGTATCTACGTCAGGCTCCCTGTGCCGCACCCAGAAAAGCAACTAATTCAGGCTGCTCCCCCCACACTGCATTCCAGCATGAATTCTTTATGAGGCCATGTGAAATATTCATGGTGACCTATTTTACATAAGAAGATATGGACCGGAGGCAGGCAGCACTGTGGCTTTTGCCGACAGGTGCAAATCCTGATCACAAGAGCGAAGGCTTTGGAGAAATGGATGGCACTTGGACAAGACAGACCCCAGGACCTCTCCAAGGGTCCTTCTGCCCCTCTTCCTACAAAAGCTGAGCAGCTACAGCATCACCCTCCCTGCAACTCCGTCAACTCCTAGGGGCATCCATAGGCAGCCATATGGCCTGCGTGGCCCAGTGGGTTTCCATAATCACTTCCGTCTCCCACTCCTGCTTGCAAGGCCAGAGAAGCACAGTGCCAGAAAGACTGATGTGCCCCAATTTTCCTCCTGCTTAGCTTTGAGGCCATAGAAGAGGGTGGCTCACAACATTTCTAAATCACAAATGTATGAAACTGCAATATAAAATCAGCCAACCAAGCATGCAGTATAGAAACTAAGACATTCTCTGTCATGTGGAACATCTGGTGGAATAAAATGGCCTTCACCAGCCAGTGAAAAACAGGGGTGGGTGGGAGGCGCTCCAGTGCCTATTCCATAACCTGGACTGCAATCCGGGACGCCCTCCCCAATCAGCCAGTCTGGGGATCTTTAATTCCCGCTCCTCCAAGCGCCTCCTCCCGCAGCTCCAGGAAGTGCCATCTATAGCTGACTGGGCCATGTGAGAATAGCCCAGCTATCCAAGTTCTGCTCTTGCACCAGCATCACACAGACGGCTTCCAAGGCTCCAGTCCTTTTCTCCAGACCTCAAATGCTTCTCAGTCAGAATGTGAACCTGTTCTCAGCATGCCAGCAAACGACCTTGTTTGGGGTAGCTGCCTTCATATGGAAATGCACTAGCTGAAATAAGAATGTGTGTGGTTTGTGTTGAGTCAAACTCCAGCTGCCATCTGAATGAGCAAACAGTGAGTAAACAACATTAAACAATGTGCAATGTGCCATTTTTCAAGCAACTAAAAATAGAGCAAAATTAAGAAATTCTATTTGTTTTGTATCCAGCATTGTTTGAATCGTAAATATGCCTGGTTTAAACTATCAGCAAGCTGCCAGTAAGCATTTCAGCTTTGGAAACAGCTCAGATTCATCAACAGCTCAGCCACAATGCCTGCTCTGGCTAGGAGTGTCTCCCACATTCTGAAGGCCACTCCTCCGTACCCCCAAGCCCTCCAGGCAGACCTAACTTCCTCTGTTGTGGAAACCCTAAGCACACCTCAATTATTAAGAGCTTAATAATGGCTCATGATTGGAATGCATTCATTTTCTTCCAGTCAGCTTTCTTCACTATCCAGTTTTTACACCCACACATAGGGAATACAATCGTGAGAATCATCTTGGCCTTGGTCACCAGTGAAACATCCTTACACTTGATTATCTTTTCTAGTTTCTTCATTACTGCCCTTCCCAGTCTCGGTCTTCTTCAAATTTGCTTGCTGCAGTATCCTTTTGAATTGATGACTGAGTCAAGGAATACAACATCTTTCACAATTCCCATTTCTTCATTGTTGACAGTCAAGTTTCGTAATCCTTCTTCAATTGTGATTTCTTTCTTAATATACAGCTGTAGTCCTGCTTTTGTACTTTCATCTTCATCAGAGGTCAGTTCAAGTCATTGCTGCTTTCAGGCAGTAATTAAGTATCACCTGCATATCTTAAATTACTGATTCAACCTCCACCTGCACTCTTTCTTTCTCTGATCCTAATCCAGCTTTCCATATGATACATTCTGTGTATAAGTTGCTAGGGAGCGGAAATACACCCTTGTCTGACACCCACTTGCCAATGGGAAACCATTCTGTTTCTCCATATTATGTCCTTCAGCCTCCATCCCCATCACCATCAGAGGGATCCATTCTCTTCTGTTGATATGCCTGCTATCCCTGAAGGGTTGGGGTTAGCATCTTAGCCTGGTTCCTCAGCTTGGGTGACACTGCTAGGAGACCATCCAGATCAGGGCTCCTGGCAGCATCGCTCTCAGCTTCCCTGATACTCTCAGCCCCCCACACTTCCCTTAAGGGCTGCCTGGTTCTGACTCCAAACATTGTACATTGCTGCTTAAAGATGAGATGCAGGATGGCCTGGCACAGACATGCATATACCCTGTAGTATACGCACACAGGCTGCCCTGGAAAGCATAGACAACACAATGGGATCTGAAGATCGCATTTTGTTCTGGCCTCCCAGCTTGGCTTACATGGACAGCTTGGCTTAAACTCACTTTTGGCTGCTTAACAGTCCTGTAAAAACATACAGGAATTTCTACAGTCAGTCAAAATGGATGAAAGAGAGCCTGGGACTTCTTAATCTGCAGCACGAACCAGAGAAATGCCTTGCAGAGGCAAACGCCTGCTGGCCACCCCACATATCTGCCTTGGCATTGCTTTGCGCTAATCAAGCCTTCCTCTAACAACCCTGGCTTTGCCACTGACCTTTTCCAGCCAGGTCCTCTGGCCTGGCCACCTTGGCGGCCACCATCCTCGCCCCTTCCTCCCATGGGCTCCTGGACAGGACCAGGCACCAGCCTGCCACTCAAAGCCCAGGCCGCTCTGGTCTCCAGAGTACAAGACAGGGCCACCTGTGAGCCAACACATCTGGGGACAGCAGCACCACCTACCTCACTTCCAACTCAGCTTTCCCTTCAACACACTTGCAACAACTCCAACCCAGTCTGCCCAGGGAGTACTTACTGGTTTGGGGCAGTGGATATATCTGGCCAAGCTGATGATCAGGTCGTGGGTGATGGGGTCAACAAGGTTCCTGAAGCTGGCATAGCGATACAGGACATCATCCAGTGAGGTGGACTCCATTCCCAAATCCTGCAGAGGAGAGGCCAAAGAGCAAAGCTAAGCAAGTGGAAACCTGCAGTAAAGATGGGATGGCACTAGTCCTCACAGCCCTGCAAACACATGATGCTGCAGCCATGTCCCACCCCAGCTTTGGAGAGCTCTAGGGTGTGAGACTCCTCCGACAAGAAATCACGCAAGTGCAGCAACACCCACAGCAGCCACCAGTCGTGGATTTGCCCAGTCCACATTTCCTTTTGTGACTGTCACTACAGGCCCAGAGACCAGCTGGACTAAGAAAACTATTTGATTCGAGGGGCATCTCAGCTGGAAACATCACTTTCTAGCAGCCACGTCACTCGAGTGGATAGGAGGAAACATAAGCAAGTGGACAAGCTTCTTGGCCAGAGCGATGGGCCCAACCACCCCCTCTTCTCCTCTTGCTGGTATGCACAACCCAGGACAGACTTTCGCCGCTCTGCTGGAAGCCATTGTGACAACTTGGTTCTAGGAGGGCAACGAAGTACCTAAAATACCCAACTCGAATATTACAGCAGTCAAAGAGCGTGAGCTTGACAGGGTATGCTTCTTCAAACATCCAGAGTCCCTTTCTAGCCCCTTTGGAGGGAGTGATGTTATCTCCAGCAATGTCTACGCCTCTGAAAGGTTTCTGCCTGGGTGACATGTACTCCTACCTTGGATCCTCAACTTGTGCTCCAGAGGGGCAAATTCCCCCTCCACCCACATTTGACTTGCCTGCTTCATTGTTCTGAAAACACTGGAAGACATTGTTCTGAACACTGGATCACGGGCATGTGGTGCCAACATGCTGTGTGCATGGCCTTTTTTCTCCACATGTGGATTTGCTTTGGCAATCCTGCTACTTCCCCAGACTGGCATTTGTAAAACATTTTTTTTTTAATTTTGCCTTTTAAATTATGATTGGTGGTTTTGATGTTGTTTTGCTTTTTAAAGATGGTTTTATTGATTTTTGTTTGATTCAACGCTATTATCGACATTTTATTTGGCTTTACTGAGAACTCTTACAGAAATAAAATATTACAAATACATAATAAAGAAAAGAACAGTATATGTTTAGCCACACTTTTATATATTCTGCAATGTGACCTGGGCAGAAACAAAGTTCTCCCTGGCATTCCTCTCAGCAGGGCAGATGAGGCTCACAGGCTTCAGAGAGCACTGGATGGTACATAGGATCATTTGTGCAGCCTGAATAGAAGGCAGATTCTTCTGCAGAACATCCCAACATTATTTCTGCATGAGAATGTATGAAATGCGGCAAAACTATCCACGGGTGCGGACAATTGCTCAGGGTCAAACAGCTGCTGGTGGAGGCAGATGAGCTGTTGCATTACATCTTTGTAAACATTTCTGAATGTTCTTCTGTAGAGCTTTTGCAGACATGCAAAATCTATGCATCTATGAGAACAGGGTAGTGTAGTGGTTTAGAGTGTGGGATTTGAACTCAAGCAATCTAGGTTCTAGTCCTCACCTGGCCATGGGGGTCAACTTTGGCCAATCACAGACTCTCAGATTTACAAAGTTGTTGTTGCAGGGATAAGACGGAGAGCAGGAAGAGGGGTATTATGTAAGTTACTCTGAGTTCTTTGTAAGAAAAAGGATATGCATATAGTACGCTTACTACCTGGCTACTGATCTGTCAGCACCATGCCCTATCCCAAGCCGCTCTAATCCACAGATGCCATTATCCTTCCTTCTACCTCCACATGGAAACAGTATAAAGCCTGGCAAGGCCAAACTGAAAGCCGGCTGCAGGCCAAGCAATGAGCTCATTTCCACACCCTTTTTAGTCATTGCTGTCAGATTCTCTCTTTCCAACACTGGAGAAAAATACAAAGCATATCTAAGAGGGTAATTTGCCTTTCAGCTGCTGGCTATGTTCCCAAATAAACACTAGAGAAGGTTACTGTGGCAGATTTGGACCAATTTCCCATGGCAAAAGTATTACTGTTTCTGTCAGGAAGCTTTGAAAATGAAATAATACCCATCATTTTTGTGCTGGTTCTGCTTGGATGCTCAGGGACATAAAGAAAGTATTGGTTTGATTCAAAAGTCACTCACATTACATTAAAAATGTGTTTTTATAACTCATTAACTATAACATGGTTATTACTACAAGCAGTGGAGTGCCAGTGGGATGTTTCTGAGCCTGGGGTGCCCCCCCCCCACCACACACACACACACAATGGCATCTCTTAAAGACATCTACTTTTTTGGCCTTCACAAGCTATCTTGCTTTTAAGTGATTAGTCCGTTAACTAGTTCCTAGAACAGAATAGTTTCCCTTAATTAAGACAAATTCAAAAGATGCCCAAAGGTAGTTTACATCCTCCTCCTCCAGTGCAGAGGCATTGGTTCATCAGCTACCGAATTTGAACAAAGTAACCCATTGTTTCTTTGCCTCTTTAAGCCCCACCTTTCACTGCACTCCATGTATCTGGACTGGCACCAGGAGGCCACAGAGCAATCTGAAGTCAAGCTTATCGCTTCCTGCACAGGTGAGCAATGTGTGGGCCTCCAGATCTTTTGGGCTCCAACTCCCACCAATCCTAGCTAACATAACTAAGCGGTGAGGGGAGTTGTAGGTAGAAATAGCTAGAGGGACACAAGTCGTCTAACTCTGATTTACAGCCACAAAGGTAATGAAGAAAAATCAAAGCTTTATATTACAAAATGCTCAACGTGCAGAGCCACATGACTGTAAGAAAGGAGAACACAAAACACATCTGCCAGCAACCTTAATGTGAAACACTTAAAACAGGTGACAACTAGCACACCAGCAATGGTAACTGTTGCAAGTCGCAAAGTCGTGTCCGAGCCATTGCGACCCCATGGACAACATTCCTCCAGGCCTTCCTGTCCTCCACCACCCCCGGAGTCCACCTAAGCTTAGGCTCAAAATTGAGAAAGGAGTTCGGCAAGGCTGTATACTGTCACCCTGTCTATTTAACTTATATGCAGAGCACATCAAGAGAAAGGCAGGGCTAGATGAATCACAAGTTGGAATTAAAATTGCTGGGAGAAATATCAACAACCTCAGATATGCAGATGATACCACTCTAATGGCAGAAAGTGAAGAGGAACTAAAGAGTCTCTTGATGTGGGTGAAGGAGGAGAATGCAAAAGTTGGCTTGAAACTCAACATTAAGAAAACGAAGATCATGGCATCCAGTCCTATCACTTTCTGGCAAATAGATGGGGAAGAAATGGAGGTAGTGACAGATTTTATTTTCCTGGGCTCCAAAATCACTGCAAACGGTGATTGCAGCCAAGAAATTAAAAGATGCTTGTTCCTTGGGAGAAAAGCTATGGCAAAACTAGACAGCATACTAAAAAGCAGAGACATCACCCTGCCAGCAAAAGTGCGTATAGTCAAGACTATGGTTTTCCCAGTTGCAATGTATGGCTGTGAAAGTTGGACCATAAGGAAGGCTGAGCGCTGAAGAATTGAGGCCTTTGAATTGTGGTTCTGGAGGAGACTCCTGCGAGTCCCTTGGACTGCGAGGTGATCAAACCAGTCAATCTTAAAGGAAACCAACCCTGACTGCTCTTTAGAAGGCCAGATTCTGAAGATGAAACTCAAATAATTATGGCCACCTAATGAAAAGGAAGGACTCACTGGAGAAGAGCCTAATGCTGGGAACAATTGATGGCAAAAGAATAAGGGGATGGCAGAGGATGAGGTGGATAGATGGAGTCACTGAAGCAGTCGGCGTGAGCTTAAGTGGACTCCGGGGGATGGTGCAGGATAGGAAGGTCTGGAGGAGTGTTGTCCATGGGATTGCGATGGGTCGGACATGACTTTGCAACTAACAACAACTAGAAACCCATAAAAAAAGCAAAAATGAAAAATAAAGCACCAGGTCCTCCCAATGAAGAAAGAGGAATTTTGGAGCCAAGCTCAAACATCAAAGTAAAGGATAATTTTGACAGCAGGATGTCCCTGACTGCATGGCCCCACCAAATTGGAGCACAACTTCACACAACAGGTGGCCAAGGCCCAGCTGCAAAGGCCCAGGCAGAAGAACACCACAGAAGCAGGTGGGAGCAACTAGCGGAAGCTGGGAACCAACATTTAGTGAGAGAGGAGCAAGAGAGGTCAAACCAAGATTCCTCAGCACCCCCATTCCCAGAATCTGGGGATAAGGGGAAGAACCATCAGTGACATAAAATGTGCTGTCTCCTTGCATAAAACTGGGTGCATCCTTGCCTCCTCCCTTCAGGAACCCGCCCCCCTCACAAAGTTCTCCATAGGGTTCCCTAGACTAGTCCAAATTCTGGGGAACGGGCAGCCAGAGACAAGGCAAGAGCGGAAGAAGTATGAGTACCAGGGCAACAGAACTCCAGGTAAAACAGGGTCTGAATATAAGGTTGAATGGCAAGTCCAAATCAGTCATGGCACAGGCCAAGGTCAGGAGCCAGAAGTATGCAGGAGGGCAGAACAAGGATATGGTCAGGAACAAGCCAGGGACTGAGCACCAAGAGGACAAACAGAGGTATAGGAACCTTGGAAAGGAAAACAGGGCAGGAAACATGGCAAGCATCAGGCAAGATGCAGGCACTTGAAGCAGGATACATGGCCTTGCCTGGGGCCGATCCTGCAAATAGAAACACAGAAACTGAGAGTCAGAAGGGGCCTCCTGGGCCATCTAGTCTGACCTCTGGCACCAGCCGGCTCCACTCACGAGATGCCCACCGTGTGGACGTCCAGCTTATCCTTGAACACCCGCACCGATGGGGCCTCAACCACCTCCCGGGGAAGCCCATTCCACACCCTCGGGGTCCTGACAGTCAGGAAGTGCTTCCTGGCATCCAAATGGAACCTTGGCTCCCTGAGCTTTGCTCCGTTGGAGCGCATTCAGAAATCAACATATCCACAATGGGACAGAGGAAAGTCTTCCCCAACCCTTTGCCATCCTGTAGCTACAGAATGAAGTGTCAAATATTGAATATTCAGGCAAGGTTCTTGTTTCTCTTTTCACATAACAAAGGTTGGAAAAGTAATCTCAAGGCTAAACCAATCAGGTTGTTAATGGCAAAATGGCTAGGACTCCCACTGTGTTACTTAGGCCAAACTTATTTATGACTCTAAGAATCATAAATACAAATCTAAATGTAAGAAATTTAGATACTGTCTTTTGATACTTTGAAGACTAACAAATTATTAATCCATGTCAATTTGCAAACCTTCTTTCAGAGTGACCATCCTCAGGCCACCTCATCACTCAAATCCCTCTCTCTGGTTGCTCTCAAGGATTCATAGATTGGAACCACCCTTACAACTGCAGGGAACCTCACACCACCTCTGAGCAGCCAGTTTATACTGGACCAGTGAGACACATCAAATTCTTTTAACCTGACAAAACCAGCATTCTGCACCAGCAGTCCTTCAACTTGCTAATGTTTTGCATCCTGGCCTGGAGAACCCTAGACCCTTTGTTCAAGTGCAAGAAGGGGAAAAATACCCTAGACCAGTGGTGGCGAACCTATGGCATGCGTGCTGCAGCGGGCACACGGAGCCCTCTCTGTCGGCACGTGAGCCAAGTCACCCCAGCATCGCCCCAGCAGCCGAGCATCAGATAACAGCGCACGTAGGGGCCATGCGCATGCTTGGAAAGGAGTAGCAGCACCAGGCAATGAGTCGTGAGCTGCGACTCATTAGCCGCGGCTCATCCGAGCTTTCACATGGCCAGTCAGTGCACTGCCAAGGATGCTTGGACTGGCTGTGAGGGTTTTTTGTTCCCTCAATTAAAACCTCAGTATTCAGGTTTTATTGCAGTGTCTGCACTAAGTGGGTTTTGGGTTGCAGTTTGGGCACTTGGTCTCTAAAAAGTTCGCCATCACTGCCCTAGACAATTAGTCATTTTGCTATTTATTTCTTTACAGTATGCAGTGAACACGAACAAGGCTGGACCTCCCCACCCTGGAACCCTCCAAACAGAGTAGACTACAACTCCCACACTGATGCTGATGGAAACTGAAGCCCAGTGGCCTGAGGGCACTGGGCTGAGGACACACAAGAAATTGTAGTAGGGAGGAAAGCACTCATGGCTGGCCTTGCTGGGAGCTCCAGCTGCTTCTTGGCAAAGGTTTGCAGGTCAAAATTCCCCAATAGGATTTCAAAAGGTGGGTGCGCGTGGGTGGGGGTGGATAGATGGACTGATGTGTCTGGGCTTAGGGGGACAAGTGCTGGTGGTTGGGAAATCTTCTCCCCCGCCGCTGGAGCTCACTGCCCAAGGACTTCCCGAAGGCCCTTCGACAAGGCCCAATGTTACCCAGCTCGAAATAAGCAGCAGGTTGCTGGCCACAGGAGGCCGCGGCGGCCGCCAGTGAGCCTGAGCCACGCCGGCCCAGGGCGCCACCGAGTCCTCTTGGCCCGACGACGCCGGCTTCCACAAGGCTGCCGAGCCCTCCGCGCACGGCAGAGCGGTCCAGAGCCGGCCGGGCAGCCAACGATGCCGCCTGGCAGCGAGCCGCAGCCGCCTGCCCTGCGCCAGAGCGCGGGCGGCAGCGGCTGCCCTGGAGCATCTTCCCCGCCTCGCCTCGGGCCAGAGCGGACGAAGCTTCGGGGCGGCGGCTCCCGGCAAAGCCGCCCGGGAAGAGCTTCCCTCCATCTCTCCGCTGGGGCGCCCGGTCTGGCCGCTCCGCGATGCCGCCCCGCCCGCGATCCCCCCGCCGCCGCCGCCGCCAACCTGGCGCAGGTGCTTCAGCAGGTCGGTCGCCTCCTCCTGTTTGCCTTGCTTGACCATCCCCAGCATGTCCTGGATGAGGCCGATCCGGCGGTGGTACGGCGGGAGCCCGGCGCCGCCGCCGCTTTTGCCAAACTTTTCGCTTGAGCGCACCACGAGAGACGCCAGGAAGTCGCCGCGTTCCCGGCCAGGCATCAACCTCCTCCGCGGAGCGGCCAGGGAAGCCAAGTGCGGGCTGCCGCCGCCGCCGCCGCCGCCGCCGGCGGGGCATCCCTTCGCTTGCTTGGCGCCCATGCTGCGGCGAAACCGGCCGTCCCCTCCGCGGCTCCTTCAGGAGGGCTTCCGAGAAGACGAAGGCGCCGCTCGGGGCCGCCGCCGGCCAAGGCGCGCGGACTCCGGCGCCCAGCGGAAGGAGGCGGCGGCGGCGGCGGCGGCGGCCGCAGGGGGCATCTCCCGCTCTCCCGCGGCGCGGCGGCTGGCCTGCCCGGCGGCCGCGGGGCCCCCGCCGCCCCGCCGCCGCTCCCTCAGGGGCCTCGCGGCAGTTGCGGACACAACTTCGGAAGAACTGTTGCGCATCCGGGCGGGGCGGCCGAGGGGCGGCGCCGGGCGGCGGGCGGGCGGCGCCGCGGCGGCCGCTCAGAGCGTAGGCCGGCCTGCCTCCGCCTCCTTCGCCGCGCTCCACTCGGAGGGACCGCCGGGCGAGGCCCGCAGACCGCCCCCCTCGCTGCTGGCCGGCCGCGTCTGCTGCGTGCGTGCGTGCAGGCGGGCGGCGGCTGCCCGTCCTCCTCTTCGCTCCGCCTGCCCGGGGGGCGGGCCGGCCAGCCCTCCAGCCTGCCCGGGTGCACGTGACGAGCGCCTTCCTGGGCACGTGTAGAGCGCGCGTCCTCCCTAGCGCGAAACGAGCCGGAGGAGAGCGCCGCGCTGCAGACAGAAGGGCTCGGCGGCCCCGTGTGTTTTAGAGCCCGCGGCAGGCGAGGGCTCGCTCCGTCTCTCGCGGAGCGCCACCGAAGGGGCCCCTGGATGAGCGAGGAGGCTGCATGCGGAGCTCAACGGAACCGGTGGATGCCCCACCCGGTGCAGGGGGCTCGCATGCACGACGGCCCCTTCGCAGCCGGCCTGCAGGAGCGCGGCTCGTCCTCGGCGCGATCTCTACTCCGCACAGGCGCCCGGGGATGCTCCCGAACCCGCTGCGGTAGGTGATTGAAGGAACCTGATTAGCTTAACTGACTTTTGTAAAAAGCAGCTTGCATAGGAGCTTGATTAGCTTAACAAACGCCATTTGCTTTTTGTAAAACTGCTTGCTTTGGAGAGGAAAAAGGGAAGACAAAAGAATGAAGTAAGACAAAGAGGTAGTGTGAAGAAGACCCCCTAGGCAAGGTCTGGCACGCAGTGATCATGCTCCCGTGAGGGGATTAGACGTAGGTGAGCATGCATGAGGTCAGGCATGCAAGGGTCAAGCAGACCCTGAGAGGGGGATTGGGTGAGGGAACAACAGGCGAGATCATTTATTATGTATTTATTTTCTGAATTATATCCTGCCTTTTTCCTACAAAGGGCTCAAGGCAGCTTACATCATTCTCCTCCATCTTATCCCCACAACAACAACCCTGTGAGGTAGGTTGGGCTGAGAGTCTGTGACTGGCCCAAAGCCACCCAGTTGGCTCCATGGCTGAGCGGGGACTAGAACCCTGATCGTCTGAGTCCCAGTCCCATGCTCTTAACCACTGCACCACACTGGATTAAGGAAAAAGGAATAAGAAGGATGAGTTGGTGAAATGTGGGGGGAGTCGCTTCCTGCCTGTGTGTAGGGAGTGACACCCGGTTGCTTTGCTCAGCTGAATAAAGAAAACTGAACGAATCTCTGCCTGACTGAACCTCATTGGCACTTGGCTGAGTGGGTCTGTAAGTCACCTGGCCAGTAGGGACTTCAACATGCTCTTCCAACACGCAGCAGCAGAGGCCTCTCTGCGCACCCCTCCATCTCCCCCTAGCGCTCCTGAGAGACGCAAAAGGGCGTCCTGTGCAGTGGAGGTACCGAGACGAAGCCAGAAGATTCACGGGCGTGTTCGGCCCTCCTGGCCGCTTGGCTATCCGGACGCCCCACAGGCCCTGCGGTCTGTCACCCTGTGATCCCGGACTTGATGAAGGGATGCTGGCCGCGGACTTCTGGAAAGCCGGCTGGGCACACCCTCCAGCTGCTACGTGATTCCCTGTCACTGGCAAACAGGAAGTTTATTGGGAGGGTATACTCTTCAATTCCTGCTAGGTACAGTGGATTGATTTGAACAAGTTTCCCTGAAGCCTAAAGTGTACAGCAGCTGATATAAAAGGCCAAAGGCTGCCAATGCTCTGGCAAACGAAACATGCATGAGCATTTGTTCTTCTGCTCTTTTGCTGCAGTTATTCTGCATTCGACCACTAAAAAGCCTTCTGCTTTAAAACCAAAATCAAGGCTCCTCCTCTGAGGCACCTTCAGAACTGATGGGAGTGAGGAAGAGATGCATCCCAGCTACACCCCCTACCCCACCTGAAAAGGAAAGTTCTGGAAAGAATGGTGACTGAGCTGAACATCGTTTCAGTACCTCATGTGACAGGGGAAACCTCTGCATTTCATTTTTCTATGTCCTCACTGTTAACCTTTGTGCCAGTACAGTGGTAGCTCGGCTCACAAACACCTCAGTTCATGACCAAATCGGCTTGCGAACAGAAATTTCAGAAAACAATTGCCTCAGTTTGTGAACTCCACATTGGGTGACGACCATGATCGGGACCATGTTGCTGCGGAAGCACGATTGCAATCACGCCCGACTCCCTCCCCCCGCCGGACATGATCGCGCCAGTCTTCCCCCCAGCACGATCGCCATCGCACCCGTCTTCCCTGCGTGAGCACGATAGGGGCCTTCTCCCCCTCACCCCCAGCACCATGATGGTTTGGACTCTCCCTCCAAACAATAACCTCCCCCCCACCTAGGTTAGTGTTCTCTACTGTACTGTACTTTGTTTCAAATTTTTGTGATTAAAAAATATTTACAGAATGGATTAACCTTATTTACATTGAACCTGATGGGGAAATTTGACTTGGCTCACGACCAATTCGGGTCACAATTAAAGTCCTGGAATGGATTAAGTACCACTCCATAGCATAACACTGTACACATCTTACAAAGTGTAGTCTAGCTCTCAAAGCTTGTATTATAAATGTGTTCGTCTTTATGTGCCACAAGTCCCGCTGTTGCTTTTGGCACAAGATAGTAACAAATGTGCAGAGATGCAATAGGAAGCAGTGCCCAGGGTCTGTTCACAGAAGCCATAGTTTGGGCTCTACAGCCGATGCGCAGAGGAGGGTGACATCTGATCGCTCAGCAGAAGGCCCAGTGTCTGAATGATCATGCCCTCAAAACAAGCAACAGCAAAATTATGTCCAAGACAACAGATGAGAAGAAAAGCAAAAGCCCCCAAATGCCATTAATGGGGAGACCCCCTCCAAAACCATCTGCCTGGTCCATTGGGTCCTCCCCATAGTACTTATCATGGCTTTAAAAAAAAATGCCTTGCACAAATCAGTACAAGACTGTCCTTCAATAATTAATCATCAAGAGAGCTGAAACACTCCAGGCATAGGAACACTCTTGGGGAGAACTTAACAGGGACACCAGTGGCATGACCAGGTCCTGCATGCCAGCTTTGAGGCTTCTGAGGCTGGCAAGCATTTCTACACCATGGGAAAGTTAAGAAAGATGCACTTAGTTCCATAAGATGGATTTGAGTCAGGAATAAATGGTCTGCCTCTTAGCCTTTCATTCTTTCTGACACGGAGGCAGGCTGATGCAAGAGGCAGGCAAGTCTGTGAAGCCTCCTGGGCAGGCTGAAGTTTCTCCTGTGAGGATCAGATGGTCTGGCAACCTTGGTGCTGACTGCAGTTCTGATTCACAATTGCCATGGTAGATGCATGCTGAACGAGGACCTGGTACAAAGTCCTCCTCTCACATAGCCTCACTTCCGGTGCGAAAGAGTGACCTCCCTTGCAGGCTTTCTCCAACTTACTCATTCCCTTTACTCTTCCCATCCAGGAAGGAATCATAGAATCATAAAAGTGCTATCATATTTCTGCTAAATCTCCTCCTCTTAAGGCTAAACAGTTCTTTCAATCTCTCCTCATAGGGCTTTGTTTTCAGTTCCCTGATTATCTTAGTTGCCATTCTCTGAAACTTGCCTAGTTTCTCTGCATCACTCTTGAAATGTGGTGCCCAGAACTAGACACGATACTCAAGATGGGGAGTGGGCATGAGCCAGTTTTCAGAAGCACACTTTCACATGTAGTTTATTTGCCTAGTTTTCTACAGGAGTTCCATCTGTGAAGAAATTACAGTGGTACCTTGGCTCACGAACTTAATTCGTTCCAGGACTCTGGTTGTGAGCGAAGTTAAATTTCCCCATAAGGTTCAATGTAAATAAGGTTAATCCGTTCTGTAACTATTATTTTTAAATCAGAAAAATGTGAAGCAAAGTGACGAAGAACCACAAAGATCACGGCCATCTCCCCCTGCCCAACCCCAAGCGCAGCCATCTCCCTGCCCCCGTCATCCCGGTGTGCTGGTGGGGGAAAGACGGGCACGAACACAGGTGCGCTGGGGGGGGGGGAGACTGGTGCAATTGTGCAGGGGGAGAGATGGCCGAGATTGCGGTTGTGCTCCTGCAGGAAAGACAGGTGCAATCTCTGCCATTCTCCTCTGCCCCGAGCATGATCGCGGCCATCTCCCCACTTGAGGGGGGGGGGGCAGGGAGATGAATTTGTGACCCAAGTCAAAATTTTTATGAAAAAAATTTTTTCGCAACCCAATTTGGTTGTGAGCCGAGGTACCACTGTATATGAAAAATTGGTCCTATGAACAAACAGACCATCAATCCTGCAAGGAACACTTCTGATACAAACATTCTCAATGGGACTGATAGTAATAAACTTTATTTAGCAAAGCAATTTGCACAAAAACAAACACAAAAAATTAGCCTAGGAGAGAAATGTCATTAACAAATCAATTACTGACCATCAAGGCCCAGAAGCAAGTGAAACACCATCTTAACTCTAGGAAATCACAGGTGAGGGGTGGTATGGATGTCATGAACCATGATACATTGCCAGAGAAGAACTCAACAGAAATAGCAGAGTTCTAACAAGAAAACACAAACAGAATCAAAACCGATTCAAGTAATAGCAAAACTAGAAAAAGAAAAAAGGCAAGATCAATATGATCTGAGCAACCACTGCAATATTCTATTATACCCCCCTCCCTGGATGTGCTTTAACTTTCGCAAGATGCCTCGTCCACCCTCACCTCCCTGCCCAAACCAGTTCTACAGTAGTTGTTCTTGGCTAGAACAGACCAAACAGATCAATTTAAAACTGCACGTTGATGAACTTTTTCTTCAAAGAAATGGCTTTGCTCAATGCGAGGACCAGGAGAAAATCTTCAGCTCGGTGACATGATGAGACACCAAGTAAATAAAGGAACTCTTTCAATGAAAGAAGACCACATGTTGTGCTACTTTGTGCAAATGCCAAGAAAGCCATTCTTAACTCTTGTGGGAGTCATTCTAGGAGAAAGAGTAGAGGAACTGGGTGCATTACAGAGATGTTGCTGCTGCTCTTGGGCAGGTGACTGTGTGGGGAGGAGGTTGTGAAGGCTAGCAAGAGTTTCTTCAATTTCAAGCTATGACAAAAAGGTGTCCTGGAATTCCTACTCTTCTTGATGAGTGAAACTGAAGAATATTGTGAAAGTAGGTAATAGGGAAGGACACCAAAGAAGTTGTGTCATTTAAAAAGGAGTCCAAGGAGCAAGGGGGGGTGAAGAGCCTGGAGCCTGGCAGAAAGCATCCCCCCCAAAAAAAGCTTACCTCCCCAATAAGAACAGATGGGCCATCCTCTCTCATACAGACACTAGATATGACGAACACCTAAGTGTGAATCAAGGGGACAAATCTGCCCAACCGTGTCGTGACAGTGGCTGCCTCATTACGGTCCCCAACGTCAAAGCCAACCTGCACATGCAGACCTTTCCAGACTCTTCCCTCACATTAAAAATAAATAAATACTGTCTATCAAAAACCAATATGTCAGAGGGTAAGTCAAAAGTCAACCTTGTACCACTTTGCAAAATGCAAGTTTTCAGTGGCCTGGAGCATTTTCACGTAGACAAAGGATACAAACCCCAGAACAGTCAGAAATGGTCCAGTCTCAGGAATGCCACAGCATTCCCTTGATCCACATATGCAGACTAGCATGAAGAACTGTCTTGTTGCAACAGCCCAAGACAGACCTGGTGCAAAGTCTGCCAGCTACAGCTAGTAAAAATATGAGAAATCACCTCTCTTGCTTTCCTTAATCTAAAATTACAAGCATGTTATTTTTCCTAGCTAAAATCTGGGTTGTTTTTAAAAACAAATCTGGAAATGTAGGCCATCTTTTTGCAAATGAGGAACAAATGGGAAGGCAGACGTGATCTCCCACCCCGGCTCACATACACACATGTGCAGATGTGTGTACATGCATACAAACTGTATTGATGAAGCATACCCACATCTTTGGAGTTGCTGTGTCATAGCAGGGGACACACCACTTGAACTCACTGAACTGGCCTCGGAGAAAAAAAGGTGCTTTTCTGAGACACCGCAAAAGGCATCTGTTATGTCATAATGCAGCAAGACAGCTCCACCCTACCCCAGCTTACCCAAAGGAAAAGAAAAATCTGTTATAGAGTCATACTATCACAGAACTGTTCACAAACAGGAAAAAGGATTCCAAGCAGTCCAGGTTGCATTGGCTTAACCTGTTGGGAGTTATACTCCTTATATAAATAACCATTACAGGCACTTCAAATGTCTTTGGTTGGAATAATCCAACTTTACAAAATAATGAATTCATAATGAATCAGGGCCCTGTTCTGGATTCAGCAGGCAACAATTGCAGAATTGGTCACTTTCAGAGGAAGGCGGCTATGGTTCATGGTTCTGAGAAAGCAACCTGAAAAGAAAAAGTGAGGTGTTTAGGTCTGTGTTTCCAGTTCTAGCAGCTACAAAAGATCATCAGGGTGTGAACTGAGACAGGAGGACTGCAAGGGAGATGTCTTTTGCCGAGTCAGCCCACTGGCCTCTCTAACCCAGCTCCTGACTATGCTGAATGGCAGTAATCTTCCAAGAGGCTTTCCCAGCCCTAGCTGGAGATGCAAGACCGGAGCTGTGACGCTCCTGGACTGACTGAGCCCAGGGGTCCAATCATGCAGCTCACTGAGGATTCTTCAACAAGTCTCCTTCACTCAGACTGATCTGCAGGACAAGAATATAGTTTGTACACTCCCTGAGCCACACAGACAAGGTGCAGGGGATACTTAAAAGAAAAAACAGGCCGAGTTAAGGTGTATTAACTCAAGAGATGTGGTACTCTGATGTCTGAGGAGGAGATCCAGACAGCTGCCAGTGGCCTGGAAGGCAAGGAGTCTTAGGCCTGTAGCCATTTTACCTCTGCCACTGGACACAGGCAGCAGACTGAGCTATTAGGTGCCCACAGAACATGTGTGCCTGAGCACCATCTCCTCTAGTGCGAGCATAGAATCATAGAAGAGTAGAGTTGGAAGGGGTCGTGAAGGCCATCAGGTCCAAACCCTGCTGTTGCAGGACACCAAGTCACACCATCCCACTCAGACGGCTGTCCAGTTTCTTTTTGGAAGTCTCTAGCGTGGGAGAGCCCATCGCCTCTCTGGGCAGCTGGTTCCACTGTCGTATCGCTCTGACAGTGAGGAAGCTTTTCCTGATATCTAGCCTGAATCTGGGTTGTCACAGCTTGACTTGATCATTCCGTGTCCTACACTCTGGCATCAGCAAGAAGAGATCTTGACCTTCCTTTTTGTGACAGCCTTTGAAGTCCTTATAGAGGGAGGTCATATCCCCCCTCAGCCTTCTCTTATCAAGGCTGAACATGCCCGGTTCTCTCTGTCTATCCTCACAGGGCAGTGTTTCCAAACCCTGGATCCTCCTCTGGACTCCTTCTAATTTGCCTGCATCTTTCATAAATCTTGGTGCCCAGAACTGGACACAGTATTCCAGGTGAGGTCTGACTAGTGAAGAGTATAGGGGAATTACTATGTCTCGTGATTTGGAAGTAATACTTCTCTTAATGCATCCTAAAAGGGCATTCGCCCTTCTGGTGGCTGCATCACATTGCTGGCTCATATTTAGCCTAAAACTCCTGTGCTGTTCACAGCCTTGGCAGTGCTGCCAAGCAAATCGGCCCCTCCTTCCATAGCCCATTCCAGGAACTGCTTCCACACCTACCTTTTCAGGACAGAAATCTGAGTTGCTTTGCCGCAATTTGATGGGTCTGCCTTTGATGACTGCATAACAGAACATGGTGATGACCATCACAAAGAGAAAGTAACTGGTGTGCATTAAATGCAGGTTGATGAGAGAGCGGTCATCCTGCGTGGAGGAAGAGGAGGCACAGTGTCATCAGCCTGCCAGAAAGCCACAAGCAAGCTGCCTCAGGGATGGGGCTCGCATCCTCAAGCAGGATTTGTTAGCACAACACACTTCCCCCTCATCTCACACACACACAGTTGAGAAAACAGTTCTCAACAAAGACATCAAGCACGAGAAGATCACTTACATCTGGGACGATAACTGTTAGTTTGGGGTTTAATGCATGGTAAACTTTCCCAACAGCTCCTTTGTAACACCAGAATGGGTTGTAGTCCTGGGCATATTTTGTGTTGGAGTCTCTTGCAGTCGTGAAGATCTTGTACCAGAAGGTTGCATTAACATAGGTTTCCGGAACACAGTGTGGTGGCTGGCTGCAAAGCAACACACAGTTCTGAATTATGCCTCTGTGTCCATTTCCAATGGGCCAGCCAACTGCAGCATGAACCCAGAACCAGATGGAGACATTCAGCTGGCATCGCCTCCATTTGATGACAATTAAACTTTTACCCACAATCCTGGGGCCAAGATACTTTCGCATGAAATTGGCCTCATGTGTTTCTATAGTCATCTGTAATATGCCTGGCTGGAAATCTCATTTGTGAAAAAAGGAGCACATTTTCTCAAGTCTCCAACTACCAAACTTTGACCTGTCACCCCCAGCCTTAGAGGTCCACCACCTCCCCACTGGGTACACCAACAGGCCAGGCAAGGTTGAAGCAATCCTCCCACACAATGAGGGCAGACAAGAACAAAAGATTGCAGATCATTTAGCAACGCCTTCCCTTCTCTGCCCCTCAACTCTGTTTTCTCTTCCAGCTCAATCTCGTTTATTTTGGGGAGGCAGTCCATGGATAAATGTCAACCTTTATTTGCTGTTTCCAGGAATACATCAAAAGTATATTGTAGAACATTAAACAGCATCTTTGACAAACACGTATATGACTTGGAACCCGCCCCCCACTCCTGGGCTGTATCAGGGCTTTGGCGCAAACCTGAAGGCATTACAGGCAGTGGCAAGCAGCTCCCTGGAAGGAGGCAACTTTGGGGACCCTTACACGGTGACAGGAAAGACTGTGGGGGCTGCTGTAACTGTCATGCAGGCTGTGAAGACAACTTGATCACAATGGTTGTGCAGAAGACAGTCATCGGCATTCCAGGCTGCAGGCAATGTGAAGGTTATATTGATCTCCTCATGAGCTTCTCTGCCTGGGCAGGGGGTGGGGGGTGCAGGAGGAGAGAAAGCATTCTGTGTTGGCAGCACTTAAGTTTTTTCCTGCTTCTACGTAGGACAGGCTATGATTGGTAAGCAAAAGCCAAGGGAAAACCTGCAGCTACACACCATTCTCAAGACCCCACCACTCTCTCTCAGAGTTGCAGATACCATCCTAAGCAGGGAGGTACAAAACTTGAAGAAATGTCTGCGCTGCTGCTATGCCGCCACCAGCCAGCCACAGTAAGGAGCCCCTCGTGTAGCTGTCTGGGCCCTGGCATGGGTGTTGCGGGCCCACTGCAAATGGATGGCAGCCTGACCCCAAAGTATAGAGAGAGGCACATGAACACCCTCTCTGCTCTGACAGCTTTGTATGAAGCTTACAGGGAAGATATATAGTGACAGCATTCCCTGTCCCTTGTCAGAAGGATGGTTTCTGAATAAAGTACAGTCTTTGACAAGGCTGGAAAAAAGACTTCTCACCTGGGCCCTTGGATGACTAACATGGACACGGTAATGCTACCAAGTGCAATCTTCCATAGGCCTCAATGTCTCTGAAGACAAACCATACCTGAGAGTCCAATCTGGTGCCCAAATATGGTGGAACACAAGTGAGTGACATTCCGAGAAAAGCCTCCAAAGGGCTTGAGTGGGTCCAGCGTTAAAGTGATGACCACTGAGATGTTGACAGGGCCAGAGTCCTCCAGCATCTGAGGCGCCAGCGTGGAGGGACGGGAGTGGATGCTGCTGCTCATTGCACTTTCTGGAGTTGTGGTGTCATTTATGAGGTGCTTCAATGTTTCATTCTCCGAAATACACAAGTCCAAATCATTAAACCTCAGAAGAAAAGTGTTCCAGTCCTTAAAGGCAAGCAGATTGTCAGTGCCTGAGTAATACCAACCCTCACAAATGCCAGTGTGCATTCAAAGACCATACAGCAAGGTCAGGAGAATCATTTGATATAAGTCATGGCAAATCCTACTCTTCTGATTAGCTCATTCAATTACATGAAACAAAAGTGTCTTGCAAGACTCACTCTCTCCTTTTCTGCCTCAAAGGCAGGTAATGAAACAAGATGGACTTATCTGAGCAAATTCACAAGGGTGTCTCTTGCCATTCTTGTCATGCTGAACCTGAATAATCAAGGCCTGTTTGCTAATAATAGCACCAGCAGAATGGAAGTGCACATACCCAAGGGATGAATTCTATTTGCGAAAGGATTAACTTTGCCAACATAAATCTTTGAGTGCCATTACCTCCTCCCTCTTCCACCAGGTCCCCTTTCTCTCTGGAGGAAGTGATGAAGCTTAGAATGCACCATTAAGCAAACACAATCTGCCATTAATGAGCAAGAAGCAAGAGCATCCGCACACAGGATGGGCAAACACAGGGCCCACCTTCATACTTTACCTCCATCATTTCAGGTGACTTGATCTCTTTGATTTTAAAGAAATAACCCAGGGTCAGGAAGGCAATGGCCATTGCGCTCACACTGATCATAAACACCACAAGTGGTGGGCGGCTGCTGATATACACCTTGAGGTTCTCCAAAGGGTTGATGCTGAACATTATTCTCATTGGGCCCACCTGGAAAATAGCATCACACTGATCAGCCATCACTGATTTCATGCTCTGGGGAAACTACCTCATTTCTCACACAAAGCAAGTCCATGATCAGCCTTCCAAGTAATCAGGGACAAGAGTGTGCTGCTGACCCAGAGAACCAGCCAAACTTTCACAGGCTCTATCTATAAGGTCTTTTTTCCCTCCTTCAGGGCCAGGGGGTCCAGAAAGCCAGCATTCTGCACTCAAACAATTAACAACAAGAACAGGAGTCCCATTTGCTGCCAGTGACCAGAAAGGAAACCGTGATTTTGGCCAAGATCCAACATGCTGGTCACCAAGTGATGGAAGGAATAAAACTGCCCTCTCCTTGCCCCATTTCTTCTCCAGAGCCAGAAGGGGAAGGGCAGCACCTCTCCACAGCTAGCAAAACGCAGTCAAAACATTTCTTGGACAAAGAATCCCATGGGGAGCCTGCCTGCTCCCGGCAGTTTGCAGGGACGCCAGCATCTGAGAGCACTCAAGCATTCATTCATTCAGCGTATGGCATGTATTGCCAGGGAGTCCACAATGGCCTTTTTAAACACATCGTGGATGTTCTGGCGCCCGAGTTGCTAGTATGTACTAGCTTAGCACCAGTTGGCCAGTGACGTTCTTGAAGCCGGTTCGTCCAGGGCTTTTCTCTGCCGATCCTCTGCCGAATGCACCTCGACGGATCCAGTGCTGGTGCTTGCTTTCCTCGTGAATGGAGTGGTGGTCCCTATTTATGTACTCACAGTTGGTATGCTTTCAAACTGTGAGGTGGACAGAAGCTAGGGGCGGGCAACGGGAGATCACTCCGTCCTGCAAGTCTGGGCTCGAACTGCTCGAATGCCGACCATTTCGGATTGGCCATTCCAGTGTCATTAAGCCACTGCCCCACTGCATTCAAGAGCTAATCAAGAGGCACATGTCGGTCAAATGATGCACAACCAACACCAATGCCAATTGCTGCTATTCCACAGCACATGTTCAGAGGAACACGCGGCTCTTGGAATCCCCCATGCTCCAATGGAGCAGGAGGAAGCTTTCAAGCTTCGTTCCAGCTTAGAGATGTGTTTATTATTTCATGCCATTTGGACCCTGCCCTTCTTCCTTCAGAGAGCTCAACATCGCAACATCACCCTGATGCTCCCCTGTGACTCAGGTGAGCCAGTCGGACTGTCTCATGGCCTCCCAGGGACCTCACAGCTAAAGACAGTCACATTTCCCACCTCCAAGTCCTGTGCTCTAGCCACCACACCACACTGCCTCTCACTACGCTGAAAATCTTTTATATTGCACACAAAATTAGTTTGTAATTTTTTCAGCAACAAAAGCAGCAAGTGCACACACACAGCGAGAGAGCAAGAAAGAGACTGAGAATGCCTTAGGTGTGACAATGACAGTGATCCACACTTTCAATAACAGCTCACCAACATAAATTGCCCCAAACTGCAGGCTGTACTACCTGAGACTTAAAAGAATAAAAAAACCACACCACCCACAACTGAGCTGGTACTCCACCCAAGAACAACAGAAACAATGATTCTGTCATATGGATCGGCCAAAGACAAGAACCAAAAATGATTTTTCCCCCTTTCTTTCAGAGTAACATTTACCCTAATCACTTATGTATGTGCAGGAAGTAAAATCCCAGAGACCCAGCACTGTTTCCCAGACTGACAGGACTAACCCACCCCATGGCTATTAAGATGCTGCTACTCCCACTTTACAAATACCCCAAGGAAAAGCTGAATAACAGAAACAATGAAGTGGGTCATCTACCAGTGATAAGGAATTCTGACCCAAACAGGAAAGAAAAATCCAGTTCCTACATCATTAAAATTCTTCATGGCTTCTTCTAAGGCATCTATCAGAAATAAGAGAGTCATGCACTCTCCCATCCATTTCCCCTCTGTCTAGCCTCCATTGCAGAATCCTTAAAAATAGCTCATTCTTAGCAACAAAGAAAACTCCTCCTCTTGGCAGGAAGTAAAGACATTGATCTGAGCTCCTCCTTCACAGTTCAGGATGAAATCTTTCAATTGTAGGAAAAATATGCCAAACAAACCCAGTCAATCATTACCCTTAAAGCAAATAGATGGAAAACTTTGTGGTACAGGAAAGATAACTTTTGAGTGTTTGAGCATCTGAAGCATGGAAGCAAACATAACAAAACCAACAACTGTTTAGAATGTATTGTTTAGAATCATTTCACTTTTATTATTCTTGACAATATTTATATAACACTCTCCCTAAAAGTTTTCAGGCAGCCCACAAAAGGAATTAAAACAGTACAAAAACACACACTTTGGAAATACCCAAAAGTGGCAGCAGAATGCCAGCAGATAAAAGGCTAAGAGAAATAGTTAAGAACAAGTAGCATGGTTGCAAGAATGCCAAGCAAAACCTATAGAAAAACAAAATGCGGCAGGGGAAGACCCAGAGGGAAGAGGCACAGCAGATCTCCCTGGGGATGGGGTTTCAGAGTTTGTGCGATGCCACTGAAAAAGCCCTCCCTGCTTCTCATCCCAGTCCACCTTCATTTGGCAAATAAGAGGAGATCCTCTGCTGGTATCTGAATTGGAAGGGCAGACCCACCCAAAAGAAGGCACCCCTTCACCTAATTAACCCTCTTCAGCAATGCCCATCAAACCTGACAACTGGTTTTGCCTGGCAATCATCTCATCAGAGCTGTATCTCCTACCTGCATGGACAAACCCTTGCAGGCAAGCCAGCCCAAGATGAGCAGGGCAGCACTTCCCAGAATATTTTGTAGGCCTTTCCCTGAGGTTGTGCAAGAGACTGTACCTGAAATATCCACAAACCACTCTACTCTTTTGTAGGAAATGTGTATTTTCAAAACACCAATACTATTGCTGTTCTGCATGCTGCAGGACTGCTCCAGCCTTGGTTAACTGTCTTGCAACCATGTTTTTCCCTCTGCTCCACAATGGACACAGCAGCTGTCTGTGGAGGCAACAAAGACATTGGCCTGCCCTTTGCCGAATCTGACATCAAAGTCACCACAGTCCAAGAAAATCACACTTCTAAAGCAGCATCTTCAAGCTGCACTTACAAACTCCAGGAATGTGGAAGAGAATCTGCAAAGACTCAGTCGTAGCTCCAACGGTCTGTGTCATTGTTAGGAACCAACTGGAAAAATGCCCAACCTCCTACTCAATGCAGGACTTGCCTTAAAGTGTACCCAACAGATTACTCTCCAACTGCCCCTTGAACGCCTCCAGTGTGGGAGAGCCCACAACCTCCCTCGGTGAGCAATTCCACTCCTGCACTGCTCTAGTCAGGATATTTTCCTGATGCCCAGTGAGAATCTGCTTTCCTGTAACTTGGGCCCATTATTCCATGGCCTGCACTCTGGGATGACTGAGAGGAGATCCTGGCTCTCTTCAGCATGACAGCCTTTCGAGTATTTGAAAAGCACTGTCAGTCTTCTCTTCCCGTTTCCCTGCTCTTCCTTGTTACCCTTCTCTGAACCTTTCCAGTTTCTGTCTTTTTTAGAGAGTGTACTCTTCTGCTTCCTATACATGGTCCTTTTGTTGTTTTCAGGTCAACTCAAAGCTTTTTGTGGAGCCACAGTGGTTTCTTCTGCCATCTGTTAGCTTTTGTTTTTGCCTGAATTTTTGGTAAGTGTGCCTTTCAAATTTTCTTTTTTAAAAACTCCCAGCCAACTTGGGCTCCTTTTTAATTTAGGGTCACTTGCCATGGGACCTTATTTATCAATCTGTCCCTTGCTAGCAGTCCATCTTCCAAGCAGCATAGTCTGTAGTACCAAATCTCTCACATCACTACCATAAGGAGAATTTTTCTTTCCCATTGCTTTTTCTCTTCCAAGAATTGGGAGGATGGATGAAAACACTATCTAGACCCCAAACTTCTTGAGTTTTCTTCTTAGACCTTCAAAATCTGATGTGATTTCTTTATAGCTCCATTTGGTGGTATAATTTGTGCCCCCACAGATTAGAAGAAAAGGATAGGCTTTACGAGCTTTGGCAACCTTTCAGTCACATCTCTAATCCAAGCTCCAGGGAAGAGCATACCTGGCGAGTCCATGGGTCATCACAACACACTTGGGTTTCAATCTCATGCAGCACGACATCTCCCCTTTCCTTTCTTTCCTTGGTCTATCGTCTTTCTGCATCCTACCTCCTACTGCACAGGTTCCCTTGCAATTCTTTCTCTGCAGTCTGTCCACTGATCTCATGTTCAAGTGGCTGAAAGCAGTTACTGAGCTCTAGTGGTTCAACTGGAGCAGAGTGTCTTCCGATTCTTCTGCTCCAAACTCTCATCCTTCTCCAGTGAGTTTCCTCTTCATTGGCTTTCCTCAGCGCAGCATTCTCCATTTCTGCTTCAACCTGCTGTTGCTCTTCCATCTCTTGTGCTTCTTGCTGTCCAAGAACTCTTCACTTTCTCTTATTCCTTGGTGGGCAAATACACATTGCTCAAATATGCTCACTTTTTCTTCGAATAGTGCAACCAGGTTATATTTATTACAAGTATACACCATGTTAGGCTCAAGGAAGAACACAAATATTGCACATACTTTACAAGTCACTACCACTTCAGAATCTTTTCCATCCCTTATATAGTAAAGAATAAGGGAAATATGTAGATTTATTGATGCAGGCTGCTGTCTTCAGCTGGTCAACTGAAGCCTGACTTCTCTGCTGCTTGCAGTGACCCCCTCTCACTTCCCAGAATTCCTCAGGCATATGTAGATTATTCCCACCATTTCAAATTGCAGGCCACTCTCTTGAACTTGTCAGTTGAAGCCTGACTTCTCAGCTGCTTCTGGTGACCATCTCCCAGAACTCCTCAGGCATGTGCAGATCTTCCCGAACACATCACTTTTCCTGAAGCGATTTGCCCAGAGACAGCACGCACAAACAGACAGGGAATAAATGCAATCAGGGTTCTTGTTCCTAACTTAATAATCCAAGCCAAGTATAGAAGGCCTTGTCACTCAAGCAACCCGCCACCAGCGGGGGGGTGGGGGGGGAGCTGGTGCCCAGATGGGTTGAGCTGCAACTGCTATGATCCTCAGCTGCCATAGCCACCTGGAGGACTACAGGTTGGGGAATGCAGCTTGAGGAAAAAGTGACTAACAGAACCAAGTTAATGCAAAACCTCCTAGCCCCCAATTATACCAGGTAATAAGAGCAGTACTGCCAATGCCACATCCTGTCTGGCCTCCTTGTGAGGAAGGGCAAGATGCACAACAGCAGAGTGACTTGTGCTGATTATCTGCGTGGGGCCGGGGGGGGGGGGGGAGCTCAAAAGAAAGAACTATGTTCTCCCTTGTTCCATGGACTTGCTGGTCCCCTGGGCCACTCAGGACGGCAAGCATGTCGGGAACCTCAGCCTCCTTTTTCCCACCGTGCTGCACCTTCAGGATTCAAGAGGACCCGAAGCTGCCTGAAGGAACCCAGCTGGAGAAGGATCCCTTCACGAGACTGGGAGGGCTGGGCCCAGAACAGCGGTATGGGGTTGCCGGAGCGCTGCCGCTTCCGGGGCTCCTGTCCGCCTCCCTCACGAGGCCAGGTGGCAGGATGCCGCCCTTGCTCCACCCCCGGCAGAATCCCACGACGCCGCTCACGTGGAGCCCGCGGGGGAGAGAGCAGCTCTGGGAGCGCGGCGCCGCTCCCGCCCCACGTCCCTGCAGCGGAAGGAAACCAGGAAGCCGCGGGAGAAGGCGCCCCTCGTCTTCCCCGCTCCGCCCCAAATCCCTGCGAATGATGCCTTACCAAAGCGCTCCCGTGGGCTCGTTTGGCTTGAGCTGCCGATCAAGGGTCCGAGGCAGCGACCCTCAGGCCCCTGCACATTTCCGAGCGCCCACCGTGAGCCATACGCCTGGGCGGAGCAAGCGCTTGCGGGCGTCGCGGGGCGCTGACCTGCTCCTCGGCGAGGTCCCGTCGCCGGGCCGCCTCCGCAAGGGGAGCAACCGGGGCAGGGGCTGCTCGCGCCCCGGGAAGAGGCGAGGCGCTGGCGCGAACTGGCGCGGGAGGGTCGGCCCGGGTGCACCGGCCCGCTCTTCTCCTTCCCGACGGGCGCGGCGCTCCCGAGGGAAGGCCGTCGCGGGGACCCCTCCGGCAGCGGCCCGCGCGGAGCCCACGGCCTCAGCGCCGGGGCTGCAGCATCTTCCCCCCGCGCCCCGCTCCGCCCTCGCAGGCGAGAGGAGCAGCCGCCGCCGGCCGAGTCGTCTTCTCCGCGGTCCGCCCGCAGGGACGCAGTTGCGAGGCGTCGGCGCTGCTGCGGGACGAGCAGGCCCCGCCCCGGAAGCCGGGCTCGGCGCGGCGCGCGCAGCTCCCGGCTCGGGCCGCTCCCGCCCTCCTCGCGCAGTGCTCGCTGGGCGGGGCCGCGAGCGTGTCGTGTGCACCGGGGGCGCGGCGGGCGGGGCGGTGCCGGGTGCAGCCCAGGTGCGGGACTCGGCCCACGGGACAAAGCGGTGCCGATTTGCACCTGGGTGTGCAGTGTGCGCAGGGAAAAGCTCCGCCAGGAAGAAAAAGGGCGCGTTCAAAACGTGGAGAGCCACGGGAATAGCCTAGACCGAGGGAAATAAAAAAAAAAAACAAGCGGGTCCAAGATCAAATGAAACCAAAGGTTCTCCCAGAAGCAAACACTAAGGCTGCCGTACTTGACGCACTGGAGAAAGCAATTATGTTAGGGACAGTAGAAGGCAGGTGAAAGGGGAGACCAGCTGCGCGTATTTGTAGAGAGGGGCACGTGAGCAGATATTGGGGGGGGTGTCAGAAGAAACCATCAGAACGGTTGGGGGGAAAGAATAAGAGAAACAAAGCCAGCTAACTCGGGATCCAATGCAAGAGGCATCCTGGGGCCTTTGCACCTTGGGTGGCCTCCCAGAGTTTTGGGGTTGCTGCTGCTGCTCAGGCAGCTCTTGAAAGGTGCACAGGAAGTGGGGGGGGGGCTGGGGGTTTTCCAGCCGATGTGTGGGAAAGGCAGAGCTCTGGACAGCAAGATGCTTGGTCGCTGAGCCTGTGATCTCTCCAGTCAGATCTCCCTTCTTGCTTAGGCTCCAAGGGGTTACTAGCCACCCCCTCAAGGCCCTCCATACTTGGAAGGCATGGGGGACGAACTGTGCTGGCAGGCAAAGCAAATGGGGTCTGGTTCTACCAAGAATGGGGCCTGAATAAGGACAAAACATTATCCAAGTTAGTTTAGTGAGAGAAAAGGTGTGTCCTTCACAACGGCATACCCAATTTTGCAATCTCTGAAAAATACCCATTACAATTAAAAGAACAAGAATTGTTCTACACCTTGTTTGACAAGACTTTTGCACTGCCTCTTCTCCTTTTCTTGATTCCACTCCACTACCAAATATTTGCAGATCTTTTCTAATCAATTTGAGCCCTCCAACCCTTATTAAGGCCATATTCATGTCATATCTTTGCCCACAACAAATACAATTTTTAGAACATAATTAAGATTCATTATTTTGGTGAAATCTATTAATTACTGTGTACCATCACGGCTAACCACTTTCCTAAGTGGTTTTCTGAAAAAAAGCAACTATACTCAGTATATCCTCCTAATGACACCAACCACCATGGTTTAGAGATATGGAAGATTTCTTAAAGCCTTTTAATAGTTAATGCAGGACTGTCTGTGTTTGTACCATGCACTATCACTCCCTGATACTAATGAGAAGCAACAAATCTATCCTTTGAGGCCAGCCACAACAGGAATGCATTAGGATCACAGGAACTATTTTTACAGGGGGGATTTATGACTAGTTCCTCACAGGTCACACCTGTCAAGCAGTGCTTGGTCAGAGGGGCTTGGCTGCCCCCCCCCATCCTGTCCCAACTCGCTACTTTGATGGAGAAAGCAGCACCTGTCAGTAGCAAGGAACAACTTATTTTCCTACTCCAGGACGGATTAGGATTCTCTTCCCACCATCCATCATCACTTGTAGAGACAGTGAGCAGCAGTCCAGTTCCAAGCAATGAGGAAATGCCCCCTCCCACCAGATCGGTCATGCAAACTGGCAGAAAGGGATTCTATGTATGCTCAGAAGCACATCTATCACTGCTTTGTACATTCTGGGAAGTTGGTGGGAGAAGAAATGAAGGCACTGGCCATGCCTTTTGGAGACAAAGCCAGCCTCGTTTTTCACTGCTGCCATCTCGTAGAAAAACCAGGAAATAACCCAGCTGGTTCAGGCCCTGACTCTAGCCTGAATTTGACTGCAAGCGGCTGTTTGGGGACTAGATGTATTCTTACTTGGTATTCTCCAGGGAGAGGGAAAGCAGTCTAATAAGCTATGGATTGTATACAGCCTTGTTCCTGGTCTCCCCCTCATCCTCCCTCTGCTTGCAGCCCATGTCACGTGTTCCCTTGAAGAACAGCCACACAAAGTTCAATGGGAATCACTTCCAGCTGACAACAAGCAGTGCTGTAGTGCAGGTACATATCAATATTAGTACCATAACAATAAGCTCCCAGACTGAACAGACTTTCAGGCCATGGGCCATGGTGGGTAGGCTTGGATTCATGAAGTAACACCTAGGCTAGCCATATGAAATAAGAACAAATGGTCAATCTTGAATGCTAGAATTATTACTGAGAAAGGGTCAGGCATTTCCCTTAAAGGCATTAGGCCAAATAACCCTCCAAGGATTGGCCTGGGACACACCTAGCAAACACGGCCAAAGACCCACAGAAAATAGACCGGGTCATGGGCACTTGGCACAGACAGCAATAGTTAAAGCAAGCAAGCACCTCTTCATCAACCAGCGTAAGTCTGAGAAACACCTTCCCACAGACATGCACACAGAGAGAAATAGTATAAATACCAGGAGCATAAGAAAGGGAGTTCGGCAAGCTCTGAACATAGCAGGAAGCGGAGATAAGCTCTGAACACAGGCCTGCCCACGCAAAGGACAGCTACTGAATAAAATAAAATAAAAATAATAAATAATTGAGAGAGTCTACCCTGCAGGACAAATAATGGACTCCCCTTTTCTCTCTCAGTCTGTTAGCCTGTTAGGCAAGAAGCTCTTTATCGCTTTTGAAATACAGAGTAAGAATGAGATGCAAAAAGAACATTTACTGCCTTGACAACATGGAGCTTGTGCAGGACACCAGGTTGAACCATCCCTCTCAGGCGGCTCTCCAGCTGCATCCTGAATGCCACAAGCTCTCTTGGCAATTGGTTGTGTCTACATGTATGACTAGCTTGTTCTCTCTGGTAGCACACATTAAACCCCAGCAAAAGATCCGAACCCTTCTCAGGAAAACTGGCAGGGTGTTGCTCCCCAAGATTATCTGGCACAACAAGCTTGAGGGATGCCCTGTAACCACAGAGGCAAGGCACAGATGAGCAGGTCTTATCAGCTGGGTGGAGGACTAGAGAGACAAAGACACAACTGCAGCTCTAACACAGTGCACTCTTCCAGAAGCATTCCAAAATATTATTATTCATAATTGTAAAAACAGAAAAATCATTATTCATACCTCAAAGCAACAAGAAAGCTGGTTTCACCAGCTGACAAATGTTGGTCATTTGTACCCTTGGACATGTAACTCATTTTAGCATACATAGTAAACTGTACAACTAAAAACCTCAAGCAGATGGCCATCAACAGCCAACCCAGATGATGAGGCCTTCCAAAATGTTTGGAAAATGGAGATAAATGGTCAACCTGCAAGCTCCCATAGGAAACAGAAGTGTTTGTCCTGACCACCAAGGCAGCTTCCTGTCTGTTGGCACCATTCGTCCCTGTGCTTCTGAAGCAATGGTTGTTTATGCTCACATAGAATAAATAGGCCAAGATTCCTGACTGAAACGGTGAACAAAACTCCATGCCGCTGCCCACAACCTGTTTTGGCCTAACTGGGGCAGCTAAACACAAGATGCTCTGGACTGCTGTTAGTGAACCTTGGCTCATTTGGTAACAAGAAGCCATATTTAAACAGATGAAGATCAACAGAAATCAGGAAAGCTGTTGAAACCAAATGTTGCTAAACTAAGCTCTCATTCCTTGCCAGATTTAGTAAAGTATAAGCTTCCTGGGCTCTGATGCTGTCAAAAAAGCCAACCCTTGCTTACCCAACGCTTAAAATATTTGTTTGTAGATAAAAATGGGAGGAGATTCCCACTCTTCTATCAAATGAAAAAGAAGGAAGACTCAAGGAATATGCTGACATGGTTTCATGGGAGGCATCGAGTGCATACATGTTGTGTGGACAAGCTCCCTCAAGAATGCTGGAAGGGTGAGAACTTTTCACTACACGTTTTACTGGCTAAAATGTTAAGACGATCACATTAAAGGCTCATCTCTCTGCAAAGGAAGGAGACAGAATAAACCACCCTGGATTTGGAGGACATGGGGGGAAATCCACGATAGACATCCATATTATGACATTAAGAAGCAGTGACAGAATGAAGGCATATTTCTGTAAAAGGGCCCCAGTCCCCCAGGAAGTGCTCCTTGCTCAAGCTCCCTTCATTCTAGGAGGGCTTGAGAAGAAGTTCCCAGCAGAGGTTACATGCTGGGATTCCATTTTATCCTATACACACACACAAGCTGTATTTTTCATATATATAATTTGAGCTCTACATATGAAACCACCACAGTAGCTTTCACCGTAGAAACAGCAAAAGTATTTCCATTGCTGAATTTCTTTGAACATTACACAGATGGAAATAATTTTAAGGTTACGTTCAATTATGAACAAAAAGCACCTTCCAGGACTGTATGCATCCTTTCAAAGGCTTCCAACGCTCAATCTTCATTTTAGGTAGGAAAGTTTCCTGAAACATAGAAAGTCAGTTCGGGTGGGTTTAGAGCCAAAACTGCTGACATGGATGGACTGGCAGAGAAGACCCCAGGCACTGCCTTCGCCTGGACTTACATTCACAACCACTGTGGAGGAGCACGGCAGCGACTGGGGCAGCCAGTTAGCCCACAGAGCCAGCCCTGACAGGCTGCCGAGAGAAAGACCAGGAAGGCAAAGGCGACCAACAAGGAAAGTTCCATATTCTTTGAGGGAACAAGTGGACTCTCTCCCTACCCCCCTCCCTTAAAACGGTATGTGGAAAATTTTAAGAACCTACAAGTTTTCTACAAAACCCCGTGTATTCTCTAAGGGAACACAAATACACACACTCACTCTGCCAAGGTCACCACTGCCACGAAGGGCCACCTCATGCTGCAGATTCCTCAGAGCAGGATGCTGGATGGTGTGTGGCAGAGCCAGGCGCCAGGGCCAGGGGGCCAAGGGCAAAGTCTCCGAACTGGGCCTGCAGCGTCGTCAGGATTCTGTGTCTGAGCCAGAGCTGCTCTCACGACTGATCTCAATCTGTAGTGAGGGCAAGTTATCAAGCCGACTTTTCTTCTGACGGGACTGCTCCTTCTCCTTGATGAGGGCTCCCCATGCCCGCTGGAGCTCAGAGTCCTCTTCTTCAGACAATGCCACCTGTTTTTCAGCTCTCTCAGGGATCTTTTCCTGCATCTTTGATGCAGATCCTAAACGTGTCCATAAGTTTGCTGAAAACACACAAAGACAGAAGTTTGAAGAGGAACTGTTCATAAGAAAGTATGCATCTTCTCCAAGAGGCACCAAAATTCTCTGAACATGGAGGGCGAATGATCAAATGCAGCTTACTACCCGGTCATGTATTTAAAGCAATTTTGGTCCCAAAGGCTTCCAGAGCCAGCCACTTCCTAAGCACAGATCCAACCTATCTGGCTAGAACCACTGCAGAAGCAGAGCTCTTCCCACTGCATATGCCATGCAGAATGAACAAAGCACCAGCCGCTCTCACAGTATTCATAAGCACACACAGACTTCCCTCGGGGAAGTGCTGACACAAGGGCAGCATGTGGACAGCAGCTCCTCACTGGCACTCCTCAGAAGAGCCAAAGGCTGATGGATTTGGGGCCGAGTCTCATAAGCAATCCCCCCCAGGCAATCCTAGCAATGCATCTGGCATAATACTGACGCCTGCTCTCCTTGTGTGCACACCAAGTTCAGTGGCACTGGTGCAGAGAACGGAAAGAGCAGTAAGGAGAGCTCTGACGCTTGCTTTCCTGCCACAGGAACCAGTTTGTTTACACCCGGGCAGCCAAGGTGCCCTGGAACCTGTGAATGTCCACCAAACCCTCCTTGATGCATTAACCGCTCTGAAGCCTGAGCAGAACATTTGCAAAAGGAGGCGGAGTGGCCCAAGGAAGCCACGCATCCATTCATTTCAAGGAGCAGAAAGCAGCATTTGAGTGTTCCGAAAAAGCAAAGTCAAGCCAAGAGGCATGATTGCACCTGTCTAGCCATTAGTGAGTGGATGGGTTTGCCACATTCTCCTTGCTGCCCAGCCATCAAGTCCCAGTGCCACAACCCCCCCCCCCCGCCGCCAAGTTGTGTGTTGCATTTGTTTTCATTTTTAGAAGTCAACTGACATCTCAATATCCCATGACTTAATGACCCTTCCGACACCCTTGGGCCCTCAAAGACAAGCTTGCCTGACATGACACAACACAGCACTGACCAGACTTCTTTTCTCTGGTATCTGAATACAGGCCCTTCCCATCCTGCTTTGGGATCCCAAGCCGGCTGTGCACATCAGACACGGGCTCCCGGTGAGAGGCTGAGGGACCGCTGGGCTGCTGGGCTTCTGGGGAGTGAGGCCTCTTGCCAAGCCTCTGCCGGACATCTGGAAACGACACCCGAACCATCACTCAGACTCTGAATTGAAATCCATGGGTAGGCAGCTAACATTGCCGTGGATGAAGAAACGCACCCTTATTGGGCTGTGCACAGAAGGTACAGGAAGGAGAAAAGGGAGTGGAGTGACAGGGACGAGAGGGCAGACCGGGTTGGGGTCACGAGGCCTCTTCTTCTGAAATGCACTCCAAGAGCAGCAACAGGCCTTTGGGGGTCACAAATGGGCAACCAGCAGTCCTCCAAATGCTGAACTGCAGCTCCCATCAACCCCAGCCGGAATAGCCAATTATGAGAGGAACTGCAGTCCAGAAAGAGCTGGAGAGCCACTGTTGCCCACTCCTGCGACGGGGGCTCAGGGCAGTGCCCTCCAATGTAAGCAATGCAAAATGAGAGGTGTCCACTCGGCAGTTAGCCTGGCATTTTCCAACATTCCTCTTGCTTTGAGTGAAGAACTGACATTTTGTGACTATGCTTCAGAGGGAGAAAGTGCTTCACATGCACCCTATCAGAAATGCACTCCTGCTTACAAAACCCGTTTTCCAAAGCCAAGGCATCCCGGCACATCAAGCCGCTGAAACGCTTTCCCCCGCAACACACACACACCTGATTTGAAAGAGCTGAGCAGGGGCTGTGGAGGCCCAGGATTTCCATGCCGTTTTTCTTCCAAAAGGAATCGGACATCAGCAACTTTCTCCGACGTGCCTTTGCTTCCAATCCGATTCTTGACATTGCTGGACACTACACTGTCTGCCCTCATGGAGTTCCTACATGAATTTTAAAAGGGAAACGGGATTCTTCATTGGCCCAGCGTAAAGGTGGCAGCCAAGGACATGTGCATGTCTCTGTGTGTATTCTCAGCATGTATACCGTACCCTTCAAGGAAACGATTGGAAAATTCTGCTCTCTGTCCCTGTTGGCCTTCATAGGGAAGACTTTCAAGAAGCCAGCTAGTGAGCAAATTGGGCCACCCAGAGTCGGCACAGCACCAGTGTCACTATGCCCCACTGAGCTGCCCCAGGAAGGATGTGTCTCCCCCATATCAGTGTAAGGCCTTACCATGGAGGAGGACCCTGCAGAGTTCTGAGTTTTGGCTCTGGCTCTCCCGTCCTGCCCTCAGCAAGACGACCAGGTCTCCTTGGCCTAATCATGTTCTTTGGACAACTGGGGCCAGGGGTTCCCAAAGGATTCACACTGGCAGACAGAAGGCCGCCATCCCCAAGGAGAGAAGAGGGCCATACCGGATGCTCCTCAACTGAGATTCCACTTCATCTGCATACATGGTCATCTTCATGCTCTTCTTGGGTGATGGAGTCGAAATCATCTTCAGCTCGAGGTCGTAGTCCATCTCATCTGAGTCAGACTCACTGGCATTACATCTCCGAGAAGTACTCCGCTCACGAGACTGCTTGACACTCTGCAGCTCATCTCGGTATTCCACAACAACCCGGTCATCTTCATCCATGTCCTGATCATCATCTTCCTCTTCCTCCTCTTCCTCCTCAATGGGTTCCTCAGGAACATTAACTAAGCCTGCAGGTCATTTGGAGAGGCAGAAAATAATGAAATTCACAGAGCCCCACTGCACATGACAAGGGTTATGGTGAGAGTCCTGGCCGCATCCTTGTTTCATGTACCTCCTCAGAAACCCACTCCTGAAGTTACTCTCTTCCACCAGGGCTCTCCCAAACAGGCTTGCAGTTCACTCAACAGGTTTCAACGTCCACCGAAAGAGAGAATTCCCCAACAGAAACCTCACCTGTTCAGGAACAGGTTTCTGAGGAAGCAAGTGAAACAAGGGTGCAACCGGGACTTTCGTCAAGCCTCCCATTCTTAGCATATTTATCGTTCCTGTATATGATAATTTATGTCATTCAATCACAGATTTGTATTTCATTGTTGGATTTAATATTTCAAATTCAGAATTTCTTGAGCAAATTATTGTTGTTTTCTAAAGTATACTGGAATAAGCACTTGTATTCTTTTAGCTGTTTTACATTTCATCTTCCATTGTTCATTTGTTTAATACTTTCCATTGTAACAGAGCATTTGGTAGTTTTCAGTGGCATCGATCACCCCCTTCCTGCTCTTCCCGCTCTTTTGGCCGTTTCTGGCTCTCTAGCTGGGGCTCTTTTTGGGGAGGGGGGAGGATGCAGAAGATAAAGGATATGGTGTGCCCTGTCCTCTGCAGTTCCCACCCACCCATTAGAATCCCCTCTCTGAGGTCCATGCTGGTTACGAGGAAGGGTGTCAGAACACAGATTAGCAGCTCTGAGGCAGAGCCACATTTCTGACTTTGGATTTAGGAACACCCCCCTCCCCCGCAACACTGTCCAGGGAGGCCAAAGGGTTAGAGTTAGGATCACTCCTTAGGTCAGTCATAAGACTTCAAGCATAGTTTCCTAGAACTACTGTTATGCTAATATCTGTATAGAGAATTAATGCCTTCTTTCTGGTAATCTTCTGATTACTTGTGAATGTAATTTTGGGCTTCCCCAAGAAAGAATCTTTGAAAGCCATCACGACAGGACTGCACATAAATATTCTAAATAAATAAATAAAGTTCTGAGTGGGAATTTTTTAATTCCCACTTAAGATAATGTTTGTTCCTATGGGATTATTACCTCCCGCCTTGAGCCTGTTAGTTTTCAGGGTGCTTTTCCAAGGATTCTTTGTCTCATACATTGTTTGGGATTTCCTAGAGCAGGCTGCAAGACAACCATAGCAACCACTCTGACTCTGACTCCTTCTTCAGGGCTTGGCTTGAACCCAGCTCCTGCAGACCACTGAGGCTACTCCTTTTCAAGGTTGTCGGTTACACAAGATGTTGCTGCAATGCAACAACCTTTGTTTCAGGAAAAACAGCAGCATACTAAAAAAAGGTTTTCTGTCTTTTAGCATCATCACATGCTCACGCCAGCATGCGCTTGGGCCTCGGAAGAGGTCATCCTTTACCTGAATGGCGATGCTTGTAGGGAGGCGTCAGGCCAACATCATCCTCAAGAAGAGTTCTTTTCTTTATCACATCACGGTGAAGCCGGCGCGAGTGATATCTCCGTTTCCTGCAAGGGGTGCAGCCATCATATACCCCATCACTAATGATGGGAGGAAATGCCCACCAATGCTTTTGAGCCAAGTTCTTATCAATGCAGACACTGACTCCTCACAGTATGTAGGGAGGAAGGCAAGCCTCTTCTTCTTCACAATGAACCTAGAGGGAGACGCCTCCCATACACCAAGACACCCGCCCAATCCTCTGCCCAATTTCAGTCTGCAGAGATGCAAGTACCTGTTGCTGCACACACTCAAAGAAAGTGTATGAGGGTTTTCTAAGAAAAAACTTTAATTTCCAGGTCATTTCTCCACACTAGCAACTACATCCAAGTGTCAGAGCTACCACAGCCCTGACCCTCTGGAGCTTTTGCCCTGCTCTGGCTGCTGTTTCCACAGTGAGATCCATCCAAATTGCACACCCAAGAAAATCCTGGAGCTGTATCAGGGACAAGGGCAGCTCCAAGGAAGCCACTCAAGCCCACCAAGTCATGCTGCTGAATAAATTAACAGCCTGCTTGGAGGGACTTTGTTGAGAGTGATGTACATATCAATAGGAATGAGCATGGCAGAAGTGAGAACTGGATAAGATGCAGGAACAATGGATCCCACCAAGCAAACAGGAAAGATCCTGCTGAGTTTCAGAGAACAAAGTTTCCACCCCCTGCCCCAATACTCACCACGAGTTGCTTAATATGCCTTTCATGCCTCCATAATTGGGATTCCCATATTTCAAGTAATACTGGCTCCTCCTGGCAGCCCCAAGCTCCTTTTTGTCATCTGCAATAGAGGAGGTCTGTTAATTGCTTGCTGGAGGATGTGCATCTCCCCTCTCTGCTCATCAAGAGCCCTTATACAAGAGCACAAAACCAGATTAAGGTCAATTACCAATAAGGCAAGCTAGCAAAGCATCTGGTGGAACCAAGCAAGGGAAGGTGGTTCATAGGGGCAAAGCCAGAAAAAAACAAGCAAGCCCCACCTTACTGGCCAAGGACCAAAGACAAGCTCGCGCTGCTTCCTTCTTTCCTGCTGAGCACTTCTGCAGTTGCTTTTGCTTGGGAAGCCCAACTCAGCTCTGAAAGAGCATCCCCAATCAGGAGGGATCAGTGCTGGCAAGAGGCCCTTTCTGCAGGATCATGAGTGCCAACTTGTCGTGTGGAAAACTCTGCGACCCCCCCCCCCACCATTTTTCATAAGAGCAAGCTTTGAAGATGTAGCAGTGGAACATCAAGTGGGGCTGACAACAACTTGCTGGGGTCACAGTGGGTGGCTTAACAGCACTGCAAGGCAAGCCCCTCACCTCTGGTTGCAAACCTCATGAAGAGCTTGTTGCCTTTGGCCAGCTTGCTGGCTGGGCGAAGATCATTCCGGAGGAGGGAATCTTCTTCCACCTGAGAAAGTGTGTCCAGCTGTGGAAAGAACATCAGTCAGGTGCCGTATTTCCACAGGGACTGAAACCACCACAAGGAAAAGATGGGACTGTTCCAGCTCAGACTGAAGAGGCTGTGCAGGCAAGGACAGGACCCATGCTGCTTCAACCCATGTTTAGGCATTGCTCCCACAGCTCAACTGTTCTAAGGGAAGAGCCACTCCAGTGAAGCTGGGTGGAGGGAACATGTAGGCTTCCCATTTGACCTCTGAGGAGAGCTCAAAAAGATGGCCTGTTTCCTCAGGGCTTTGCTAGCCTGCTTATGATATTCTAGTTGTGTGTGGGGGATGGAGAGGGAATAGGGCTCTTATCCACAGGAGTATCGAGACTCATAGATTTCCTATTTGCCACATCAAGTACTGCTATCACATCAACATCAAGTGTTATTTTATGTTCCGACTTCAGTGTAGCCTGAAGTGCCTGATCCTGCCTCATCTTGGAAACTTACACAAGGTCAGTCCTTGTTGAAATCTGGATGGGTGACGTAAATGTTGTAAACTCCCCAAAGAGCTTCTGCTATGGGTGGTACAGAATTGCAATGCAATGCAATGATAACAGCACACAACAAATTTCTTGAACAAATATGACAACCGTGCACTCCTCACTGGAGTGTTTGCTTATGGCCCTTTAGCAACAGCTGTGGCCCCAACTAACACCCTGCACTAACCTCTGCATCACTCGGATGGTCGTCCTCTACCTCTCCCTCCTCTGTTTCGTCGTCTGAGCTTTCCTCCTGTTTCTCTAAAAGGAAGGTCAAAGAGTTTTCCTGAACACAAGAATGTAACAGCAGTCCTGGGGCTGCATCAGGGTCCACCTGCTTCAGCATTCTCGTCACATGGTGGCTAACCAGCTGCCCGTTGGAATCCCGTGACATGAGCCAATAGCACCCTGCCACCCATGTTCCCAAACGACTGGTTTACACAGGCATATTGCCTGCGATCTTGGAGGGAGCCACAAAGACTAGCAGCCGCTGATGGCTCATTCTTCCATGAACTTCTCCAATTACTTTTCAAACCAACCAGACTGGTGGCAATTACCACATCTCATGCAATGTGTGAAAAAGTTCCTCTTTTCATCTGTCCTGTATTTTCTACCAGTTAGTTTCATGGGAGTGCTCCATTGGGCTTGAGCATTATGAGAGAGGGAGGAAAATGCTTTTTATCTGCTTTCTCCACATCATGCCTAATTCTGCACAATCATTTTCCCCTCTCCACCTTTTTTCTAGGTTAAATTTTCCAGGTTAACCTTCCCTCACAATCATTTTTCACTCACTGATATTTTAGTTGCCCTTTTTCTAACTCTGCAATATCCATTTTTTTAGGTGTGCTGACCAGAAACGTACACAATATTTTATGTGTGGCTGCACCATACATTTGTATATGGGCAGTATGAACTTTGAAGAAAACTGAGACTTAGAAGGGAGCAATGAAGGAACTAGAGAAAGCATCAAATGTAAGGATGTTTCAGTGGAGACCAAGGCCAGGATCATCCACAAAATTGTATTCTCTATCACTATGTGCGAGTGAAGCAGGACAGTGAAGAAAGGTGACAGAAAGAAAATGGATGCATTCAAAACATGGTGTGGGGGGAGTGCTTTGCAAACCAAGAGAAAGACAAACAAGTAGGTCCAAGATCAAATCAAGCAACAGCTTTCCCTAGAAACAAAAATGACAAAACTGAGGCTGTCATACTTTCAATACACCATGAGGAAAACGAGACTCTTTGGAGAAGACAATCATGCAAGGGAAAGTTGAAGGCAGAAGAAGATCAAATAAGTGATGAATAGGTGTCACAGGTACAGAACGGGGGGCAAGTGGCTGAAGGGCAGCACTTGTGAAAGGGATCTAAGGGTACAGCAGGCTGAACACGAGCCAGCAGTGTGATGCAGTGGTTAAGAAGACCAGAAGACAAGCACCACCCTTGGAAGCACAGCCAGAAGCATGGCTTCCAGATCTAGGTGTTGACACCGTTTGACATGACTCTGGTCGCCTACAACTGGAGTACTGTGTCCAGTTCTGGACTCCACATTATAGGAGAGCCATAGCTAGGTTAGAATCGATTCAGTGCAGGATCACGAGAATGGTAGTCAGGTTGGAAGGAATGAAGTAAGTAGAGATTGAGGGAACTGGGTCTTTTCAGCCTGGAGATGAGACTCTGAGGGGATCTTTTAGCAACTTATAGGTATGTATGTATGTATGTATGTATGTATGTATTTATATCCTGCCTTTTTCCTACAAAGGGCTCAAGGCAGCTTACATCTCCTCCTCCATCTTATCCCAACAACAACCCTGTGAGGTAGGTTGGGCTGAGAGTCTAGCCTGGCCCAAAGTCACCCAGTTGGCTCCATGACTGAGCGGGGACTAGAACCCAGATCGTCTGAGTCCCAGTCCCATGCTCTTAACCACTGCACCACACTGGCTCTCTGAGGAGTGAGGGGGTGTCATGTGGAGGAGGGCTGTGAGCTGTTCTTCCCTGCAGTGGAGGGCAGGACGCGTTCCTGGCTGGTTTGCAGAGTACTGGAATTCCAGTCAGGTCAAGTCGCTCCCATCACATGCCCAGAAAGGCCATGCCTCCCCTGCCAGAGCACTCTGGCCCAGGGAGCACAGGAAACAAGGAAGGGCTGCTTTACCTTTTCTGCTGGGATTCACCACTTTCTTGCTACTTTCCTGGAGCTTCATTTTCTCCTCTTGAGGCATGGAGCTCATGTTGATAAGAGCGCGTGTGGCTGTCACTTCATCAAGCCAAACAACATTACCTTGAAAGAAAGCAGAGATTTCATTTTCAACATGGCCAGACAAAGTGCCACGGACACCCACCTCCTTCTGCTGCTCAGGCAAGCACAAAGCTCCATTCTAGCCTGTTGGGGCATGAGGGAAACCCCACAAAGACGATTCTTCTTCCTGTTGCTATAATGTTGAGAGATGCAAGATGTCAGAACAGATGCCTGGTCACTAAGTCACGCCACATCTGCTATGGTGCGCAGACCCTCAACTACTTACAAGAAGTGTCATCCAGCCACTCAATGTGTGCAGGAGGATACTCCTTAAAATAGGCAAAGATATCCTGGGTGCTCATTTCATCAACACCGTAAACATAGATGGTGTCCAGCCGCAATTTTGGGATGGCTGTAAAGAGAGAGAGTATAGGTCAGGTCTTGGCAATAAACTGATGTAAATACACTTTGGGCAGAAAAGGAAAAAAAAAAAAGAGGAGTCATCACAAGACAATGGCAAAGACACTGCCGTTTACCTGGTGGTCAATAGGCAGACCAGAAAAAAGGGGGGAACAGCAGGAGGCAGGTTTTCCCCTACCAAGGCTTTCCATTCAGTTTTTGGAAAAAAAGAAACAAACGAACTGGGGTGAGGGGAGAGATTGCAAAACCCTCTCGGGAATTATTTTCTTTTAGAAAGAGCAAAATGTTTTCTGTTGTAGCATATGAACTAAGTCTGCACCATTTCATTTCCTTAAAATGGTGACTACTAACAATGTTATTGTTATGGGCAGCAACCCACAGCACTGGGGAATGATGGCTGTCGTAAGTGGAAGGGGGAAAAGAGAAGAGGAATTGATGGGATGTGTGACTGGGAGAGGTCTCTGACTGCAGTCAGCAGCTTTTGCCTGGCGTAAGTGGTCTGTGCTGGGCACGGGCAGATGGAATGTCCCCATGCATGGTGCATACAAGCCTTCTCCATCTGGTGTATTTTCAACTCCAGCCTTCCTGATCACTGGCAGTGTGGAATAGGGTTGGTGGAAACTGTAGTTCAAAGCAGCTAGAATGGCTTCAGCTGGGCAAGAAGGGGGGATGGCCACATTGGGGGGGGGGGAGATGGCTGTGATCGTGCTTGGGCCCGTCTTCCCTA